TAAATGCTCTGTCACAAGTCATTCGTCATACCATGGCAAGACGGTATAATAAAAGTTTCAAACACTTCTATTTCTCCCCTGTTGCTCTGTACCAATAAAATATGCATAGAGTATGGACTGACTCCAGTATCCGCCCATTACTATTTCAGTCCCTGCTGTAAATAGTCTCATTGGTTGGAAAATAAAAAAAGACTGAATGAAAGCAACGTACAGAGGAAATTTCAAAGACAAACCTTTGGAGAAACATCACCATCATCTGTCGTCCTCAGGGGAGTTCTGCCCCCACTGATGGCTTGACAGGCCATTGATCAAACAACCAATAAAATTATCATAAGATCAATGGAGGGTGTGAGTGATTGGCTTCTGTGCCCTTCCTCCTCTGACACATTAACACTGATTGGCTTGTTGAAGTCAATAAGACAGGAAGCTGATGATACCAGTGTGCCACTCATTCAATCACTCGGGCACTTTGAATGGTGAGCTCTTTGTGGGACTGGCACATTACAAATCACAGTCTTTTTTTCTGCCATTCTTTCACCCCTAAAATCGCAGCGTAATACTTGACAAACACTTCAACCTTTGCTACATCTGACTGTGCGTAATGGATACAGGACACAGCATGTGTGCGTGTGTGTTGTGGGGTGGGATTGATTTGTGTCACCTTTTCTTCACTCAGTTGTTTTCTTTCCCAACTATACATGCACAGACCCTGTCTCCAAATACTATTGTGACATGTTTACATTCACTTATACTGAGTTTGAGTAATTTCCATTTCAAACAGAGACAAACAGACTTTTTTTAATTGCCTAATATGCAACTATTTGCTGAATGAACTGTTCGTAACTTATTTTGAGAGTGTTTGAATTACATTGATTAGTCTGCCAAAATGGGCAGAAAGTAAGAAATCCATTCCAGTAGATTAGAGGGAGCGCTCTGTTGTCAGAATATCAATGAAGGACGCCTGCTGTCCTCTACATACCTGAAGGGAAGAAGGTAATGAGGAAAAGTGAAACTTGATGAGGCAGTCAGGTTACACGTCTCCTTCTTCAGCTTAAAACCACTCACAGCTTTGGGCTACATGGACAGTCTGCCCTCTCTGATGGACTTTCTGTCTGGTTGCCGCAGGCCTGCACAGGCAAACACCTATGAAATGCAAAGCCAGGAGTGTGAACCTTTTCTCCTTCCTCTCGAGGGAAGTGAGAACTGGCATCGTCAACCTGGCACATCAGCTGTCTGCTGTCTCGAGAGCATAATCTCCCAACAGCTCGTCCAGTCGACTAGACTGACTGAGTAGCTGGAGGGTTGATCACACAGGGGCTGGCATAGTCCCCTGATCCTGCAGACAGCTTGCTGGTGATGCCATACTGAGTCCCCTGTATTTGGAAAGCAGGACTTTTTGTACTTTCTCTGCGACAATGTTGTCTGGGTAATGATCAGTGAAGAGTAAGGGGGGGTTCAAGAGAATTTTCATTGGAGATTGGGCAAATGTCCGTGAAAACATATTCTTCCAGCAGCCATCTTTTTTTGATGTCACACTCATATGTTGTTATCACACATAGTTTCTGTCCTCTAGTTCAGAGGTTGTGTAAAATGGAATGATCTGACAAATTATGGTCATTTCACAGCTCCCAATTTAGCCTAAAATATGGTCTGATCTCTCTCTAGATTCTCAGTGTCTGTTGTTGTGCTGCTTATCAATTGGGGAAATGGCTAAGTTACCACAGTTTGTCCGATTTTTAAGTTTCATACAACCAAGGATCTGGTACACCATAATTGTAGCTACATGTTAAGAATGTATGAGTTTCCGACCTTGAGCATTGGTGCTGCAATGTGATCAATTCATGTTAAAAGTAAATTAAAGCACTGCGTCTTCAGTACATGCCAAACAGCAGACTATCCTGGCTGTAAGTGCATTAGCCTCACCCTGAGGTGTTGAATTAGCTGTATACTCTGGCTCAATAGACCAATCTGAATATCTAATTCAACATAAATACTGCAAAGCATGCCCTCGTCTATGACAGCCTTGACCTGCTCATATTTGGGGTTTTCATTTTTTTCTATTTGTTGCCAGTCTGCAATTCAAACAAAGGCTGAGCCTTCAAATATGAGGTGAGATAGTCTGTATTATATTTTTTGGTCTTAAACCGAAAAGCAAATTTTGCTGCATGCTCGAAGACAAAGACAATTCAGAGAACTCATCTTTATGCTTTGAAGTGTTTTATTGCAGCAGCAGCAGCAGAACATTGTGTTTGGTGTCTAGGCTCTGACCTCATTACTTTTTGCAGTTTTACTTTTACGTGCAGAAATGGAGAAATAATACAACAATATCTCAAACCCCCTCTCGTGTGACCTCGTAGGTGGATGCTGCGGTGGTGTAGTGCTGAAAATGTGAGTGCATCCCTTAAGCGTGGCAGTGGTGGTGATAAAGCATAGACAGAGACCCTTTTGGCTTAAATAAAGCACCAAGATAGGGGGATATGTCTGTCTTGATGCTGAGAATGACATATGCCAATCTGAGCTGTCAATCTGAACTATCTTGCAGGCTTTGCTCCATCATTGGCAAAAGTTTTCCCCGCTGAAAGAGACAGATGGGAGTTCACCAGTGATGCATGGGTCAAGAGAAAGGATTGGAGTGCCGCCTATTGAGGTCCAACTTGACCTGTCACAAGGTGTGACTCAGTTTGACCTCCTCTTCTGTGTCTTTCTGCCTTACAACATCTCTGGTCTCTGTCTTATTTAAACACTGCTAAGACTACAGTACACAAAAGTCAGATTAATTAGTTGTACAATGCTATAAATCACTCAACACTGAACAAATGATGTATTTGATTTGAATTTGCCATTAAAGTGCAGCCAAACTGCTCTCTGTTGCATTACACTTTTGGGCCCATGTGTATTGAAACACTCCCAAAGCACATATTCCAGCTGCAGCTCTAAGAAAGTCAAATAATGGGAAAGTTTGCTGTGAAACCAAGGATTTAGGTAAAAATCTCAACATTCTCAATCTCTGCCAGTATGTAGCAAATGAGAAATCCATTTTTCTCAATGTGTTTCCATTTTTTAAGAAGTCTGAAGGATTTATTGTGGCTCTACTAATCTGCAGTTTACTTGTTGGATGTATTAAGATTAATTGTGTGCCTACAATTACTTAAGTGCCATTTTATTATAAGACATGGCTTCCTCGGTTCAGCACAAACCTGGCAGGATTTCAAAATAAACGAGGGACTGGATAAAGCCTTTTTAAAGCAGCTTATTGTAGCTTGTGGAGATCACACACATAAACCCACAATAGCCCTTTTGTACTTCAAAAGCCCAATACAATACATCAGAAGAGGTACAATGGCAGACCCTCACACTCACACACGTTGCAGCCACTCAGGGCCACTTGACATTCACACAGTCTCCCTAGTTCTCACTTATTTCTGTGATACGTGTGGGGTCGGACTTTGGCAACAATGCTTTATTATTCAGTGTTCACACTGGACCACCACAACCTCTGCAGACAACATACGGTATTACCCAAACATTATAAAACTCCATTCATTAAAATGTTCATTCTAAGTGTTCCTTTAATCCTGCAGGACTGCTCTACTGGTGCCCCATCACCCTGATGCAAAATACAAAATAAAAAGTATTCAACAAGTGATAAAAAAAACTTTGATTTCCTGTCAATTCTCTGGTCTGGCATGACTTCTCTGCAGGGGTAACAGCCAGTAGCAAAGCCTTTGATACGGTTTGGAGGGATGCTCTTGGGTACATATTATTAAAGGGTGGTATTAGTCGAAGTTTTTGGAATGTGGTAAGGAATATGTATGAATAATAAAGTCTTATATGATAGTGGCTTAGGAGGATGTCTGCACTATATCTAAGTTAAAAAAGAATAATGATTATTGGGGGTGGGGGGAGTTGATATCAGGTGGGAAAAAAACTACAAAGGTGTCCTTTGTTTCTTTGCAGAGGTTTCCTCACTGGGTCCCCTGTGAGGTTTTGGTTGTCTATGCTGGGGGCAACAATCTGTGACTGGAATCTGCAAAGGAGCTTGCTGCCGAAACGCAAGAAGACTTGACAAAGCTTCATGAGGTGTTCCCCCGTGGCTGTATTAGACACTGGACCTCCTTTATTGTTAAGGTTAAATTCTCTTTCAGAGCAACAGACTTCTCAGAGTTTAGGGATTATTTTTTATCCATGAAAAGTTTTTCATTAAATGTGTTTTATTTTTTAATGATCTGTTTATGTATATCAGTATGTATCTGGGGAAGGACTGGTTATTGTCAATCTGGGGGTGCAGGAAGTCTCCATCAAGACTAATGGGTCTCTACCTCTGATTACAGGAATACACACGCGCACACACTTACACAAGGATATACAACAACAGTGTAGATTACACTTTTTGTAGCTATACACAGCTCAAAACGAAGACTTCCACAGTCTTATGTTCAGGTCAACAAGAGTAAACAAGGACTTTGTGTATCCTAAAGTAAACCCTCCCACTGGAGACACACGTGGGCTATGTGGAATGGATTGCTTGTGCTGTGAAGCAATAACAGGATTATGTCAGTACTGTAATTGGTAGGCTTTACAACAGGTGGGCGTTAACCCTTTAACTTCCCAGCTGAACTCCTTTGAGGGGGGTGTAGTACTCTTTAATGGAAAATAGACGAGTTTGAGGGGTGTGATACTAGACATGTTGAGACAATTGCGTGAGTAGGATTTCTGCTTGTTAGCACAGCACAGAACAACTATGTTTTTAAAGTTCACTTCGAGAAATGGCTAATATTAGCATACTCTGGCGCAGTCCTCTGGCTATTTTCGTGATTTAACCATTCATCATGCCTCCTGAAAGCTTAAACATTGTCTAAGTTGAGGGTTTCTGTGTGTTTCTTCCATTTTGTAAAGGGCTGACTTCCTGCGCGCGCGCACTCCCCCGTGCTCTAATTGATGCGCTCGCTCTCCTGGAGGTTTGGCTTATCGTGCCGCGCGCTGCTCAGGAACAAACTTGTACGGAGGAAACTTTGAGAAACATCGTCAAATTTCTGCCACATAGCTAAGAAATGTAAAGTTAATGTTGCCCGAGAGCTCTACTCATGTCTGATGAAGGCGAGGAAAGCGACAGCGGCGAGAGAGGGCACCCTTCTGACTCTCCCTCCCCGCCTCTGTCTGTCTGTCTTCCCCGAGAATCTCCTTCCTCCCCGCGGCCCTTGGACCTCTTCTCCTCCGCCTCTCCGCTGCTCGGGGACACAGACCCGCCTTACCTCGCCTCCCCGGAATGTCTTCACCCGTCTCCAGAGAACCAGGAGTCTCCGCACCTCTCAACGCCAAAGTTCCAACAGACCACCGGGGACACCGGCTCTGCGCTTCGTTCGGGGCATGATGTGCGGGTAGACGCGGTTTACGACCGCTATGATGACCCGTTTCCCAAGTGGAGAGGACGAGGAGCGGCGAACGCGGAGCGCTTTCAGCACCGCGGACAGAGACTCCAGCGTGCTCCGGAGTGCTCAGACCAGGGGAACCACTACTCCTTTGACCACATCGACACTGAATTCCACTCTGAATCCAGGCAAACGTGAGGCACCTTTTTCTATTCACAGGCAACTTTTTTGTCATGTTTGTTTTTCCACACTGATGGAGTGCCCAGTTATAGCCCTGTGTAGGACATACATGCGTTTTAAAACTCTGCCATATTAGTTAAGAAATTGCACAGGTGCTGTGAGTTGATCAAATTCACTTACTAGCTTCTAATCCAGTGGGAATTTCAACAAGTAGAGGCCAGGTTTGAGAGTGCAAAGCAGCTGCTAACACCTCTCTGTGCAGCTGCAGACCATTTATCAACCAGGTTTACTCTACACTTCTTTCATAAAGAGGATGGGCTCTGACATACAGTTGTAACAATAACACTGGAACAGTATCATACATTTTGCTTCCATGCAGAAAACTGGTGCTTCTTTTTATCAGATGTACCAAATTTACCTGGACTGAGTCTTATTGCAACCATTTTGTTGTCACTTTGGCTCGTGCTGAAATATATCACAGATATGTCTTTTTGTCCCTCTTCATTTTGTTTCTTAGCTTGTGTGCGGTTTTGGCTGTTGTGGTTGGACTGTTGTGTCCCTTGAGAATACATGTATGCTCAGCATGTATACGTGAGGAAGTGAAGGGTGGGGAAGGGAGAATGTGCTGAATGGATTAGTGTGTCCGTGGGGGTTTTCCTCAGTATATTTTCCTTGTGCGGTGAGGGAGGGAATTTCTTTATTGGTTCTAGTGCATGAGTGCATGAATGCATAAGCAGGAGTCAAGAATCAACAGGGTGTGTGTGTGTGTGTGTGTGTGTGTGTGTGTGTGTGTGTGTGTGTGTGTGTGTGTGTGTGTGTGTGTGTGTGATTAGTTTGAGTACAGGATAGACACACCAGAGCAAAATCATGTGACACTGAGCTTGAACAGACAGCAAAAATCTGCTAGCACAGTTCCTCCCCTCAATGTCACAATCATCAAATTCATCACACTTCCTGAGCATGCACAGATACACTTCAAAAACCTTGACACCCATATGAAAGGTTAGGACCACCTCACTAGAAGACACCACAAGGTCATCCTATCTGTAAAACCGCTTTAGATTGGAAGCATAAATGGTGACAGAGGATTTTCATGTGGCTCTGCTCTGCTGTGATCACATTTTGAGAGTGACAGGCCTCAGTATTGGCTCTTTGATGTGCCTTGGTCTGTTCGTTTGAAACACCAGTGCTCATCCTAAGAGGCCCTGCCTGCGAAAGAAGCATGTATGGTTTAACTGATAGATAAATGTTGGATGGCTCTGTGTGTCTGTAGAGGGGGGTGAACATGCCTGTTTCTCATTACTAGTGAAATATGGTGAGCAAGTCACCTTTGATCTTTAAAATTGGCAATTTACTGCTTGAAAGAGCGTCTCTGTGTGTTTGATGGGGGAAGAAAGACAGCAGAGAGAAACCCCTCATATATTCTGCAGCACGTCTCTACACTGATAAAGCACAAACTCATTACTCACCTCTGTAAGGATTGCTGCCAGGTCAGAATTCTTCCTTACTGGTTATCTGCAAAATTTGATTTATCCCTCTCTCTAGCACTGTAGGTCATGGTAAATGACATAACTCACTTGAAAGTAAAGAACATATAGTTCCAATGATTCCAAGGTGAACACTGTGAACACTGAACATTGAGTTTTGGCTGACAGCACGATGACTTGGGTCAGGACATCCAGATCTTGATATTGACCAGTTTTCACCTGCCAAAATACAGGTACAACACAATTTGATTTAAGACTGGGCGATATGGCCTCAAATCGATATCACGATATATTGAGCAGTTCACCTCGATAACGATAAACAGACGATTACTACTCCACAAGCTGCTCACCCCCTCCCACATTAACTTTATCTACTTCAGCCACTTTTGAACCGTCCTCCATCTCCTCACCTGTCTTTCCCTCTTTGTTACGGACTGAGTGGGGTGGAGTCACGTCTTCGACTTAGGACAGCGTCTCAGTGGAAATTAGACCATAGCCTACCTACATACATCCAAAACCAACTTTTATTTATTTATTTATTTGACACCGTATATATTGACATGGGAAAAATGACGTCGGTTATTGTCGTAAATTTCGGTATCGGTAAATTTTCGGCTTTTTAAACTGCATTTCTTTGAAGTGATTTTTCAACGGTAGGTGAAATATGTTCTATGCCAACATATTCTATGCACTATTTTTCAGACCCAAAAATCACTGCAGCACATTATGAAATATGTTAACATGAGGGTACAGAGGGAGCAAAGGAAGCAGTCCTCAAGAAACAGAGATAGGAAAAACTATGCACAGGTAGGTACTGTGTCTTCACTGCTCTGAGTGACGGTTGACAGACTCTTGGATGCTGATGTAGTTGATCCATACCTGATGGCACCTTGAGTGATAGGATGTTGATGGCTGAAGGTGGAGAGTGGCCTGTTTTCGGTGACGTATTCATTCATATGTGTGACTTAACGGTGGACACAGATGTTTTTTGAGGATCTTGTCAACAGAAAAATATCAAGTTAGTAGCTTTAGACAAGTCTTATGAGTGGCAGCTTTTAAGGTATATGGTTGTATTAGTATATTAGGTAGGAACCTCATTCTACCTTATTCAGCTGAGTTAGGCTGTTATTATCAAGGTGGCATAACCTGTATTTACATGATGGTGGTACTTTGTGTTTATAGTAATTACATAAAGGCAAAGCAAAGGAGAAACTTTGTTGCTCTATAATTAAGAGTAATTGGGTGATGCCATTTAAGGAATGTTAGGAACAAACAAATTATGCAGCCTAACTTCTCCTTTTTCTTTTATCATTTCCTTGTAGTGGTGTATTTTTGTTTAATCTGATATCCTGGTTTCAAACAGATAGCTGATACTGTTTGGTTTACATTCCCATTTTATTACTTTCAAGTAAGCACCAAAGTGTATCCATCAGGTGCAGACATACTTTCTATGTGCTTGTATTAGGGAGTCAAAATTGCAGTCACTGCCAAAGCTGCCATATCTCTTCACATGGACCTTAAATGTTCTTGGTAAATTCAATGCAGATATGCTTTTCATTCATTGTAGCATAGTTATCTGTCAAAGGTGTCTTGTTACAGAGAACTCTGTCTTCCTGGCTTGGCATCTTTGGCTATCTGCTAAAATTTGAACAAAGTTTGTGTGAATGTTTGATAATGCTTTTTTTTTTTCTGTGAATCTTCTATCATAGTTTCAGAACTAAAGACTCTGCATTATAAAAATCTGAAACACACAGAAATTCGACTCAAGGATGTATGATTGAAAGTGAACTGTCCTGTTTCACAAAGAGGCTTACTTCACTTTCTTTCACCAATGAAGTTCAAAACAGACCTGAAGCTTGGCTGTGTTAAAAAAAGATTTGCTATAGTCTACCCTGTTGAGCTGGAAACCCCTGTAGCAGTGGTGGAAGATCGCTTCTCCCTTTTCTGACAGTTTTGTTGTTAATAGGAGAGGGGGCTGCTTGCTTGAACGGAGGCTTTGAGTGATCTGCAGCAGCTTCTGAGTTACATTCAGCATCAAGATGAAAGCTGGCTAGACTCTGTAACAGCTGGGTGTGTGCAGTGTGGGTTTCAGTGATCAGAAACTGATACACAAATTTCCCTGAGCAGACAGTTAACTCAAAATAACATGATATGTGATGTGTTGAATAGTGTGTACTAAATGCTGCCTGCTTACCATAAAATGGTGAAGCGCCATTATTAGTAAGGCAGTCCAGCATCTACCAACTATCTAAACCTTGTTTGTGAACCAAAGCACACGACTTTAAGAGCTACAAGAAAGCAAAAAGATCAACTGTGAGATGGGATGAAGCGTATTCATAGTTTTGGCTCTTCACTGTATAGAATGACATAATAGCCTGATTGGCTCCATACATAGCAGCCTCTGTTATCAGTGGATGTGGTGTGAATGCGGCATGTAATATAAAAGGGCTTTTAGTGGTCAAGAAGGCTAGAGGAAGTGCTATATAAACAGAGTCCATTTACTATTTGCTTTAATAACCTGCTACAACAATGCCAAAAATGAAATCTGCTTGTTTTTGTTGCTTCACATTTATTTTGACAAGTCCTCAGATCCTCAGAGTATATTGTCTAAGTGCAGTCCCTAATGCTGGTATGTAAGCAGACATGCGCACAGCTGATCCTTCCTGACTCTCTAATTGCTCCCTGTCTTCATATCTTCGTCTGTCTCTTCTCTCTTTCTCTCCTTCATTCACAAATCCTGTTTCATATCAGACAGGGAGGCTAGAATATGATGGAAAATGGCAATTCATTACCAGACTATGGGGATATCTAAAATATTTTTAAAATCTTTACTGATTTTTAAAGAGGTGAAAGACTCCACACATGATGAGAAATATGACAGAATAAATAGATTTGTCCTTATAGTGTCTGGTTTGCAACAAGACTCAAATGTGACACGAGTAAAAAAAGATGGTTTACTATGGGGGTTAAACATTGCTAGCTTGAACGCTTCCTATAACATCTATTTCTTTAACAATTTTTGTTCAGCTCCTTTCTTTGCCACAAATTAAAAAGGTTCTCTCTCCCTGACACTCATCTACGTTTGTGCTGCTTGCTCAATACTGTTATCACGTTTGCCATTGTTTTGTTTCCTCTAAAACTAGCTTGATTCTCGTTGGCTTTTATTTTATTCCATTTTGCTTTCACCTAGACACCAGAAATACTGATAGTAAACATTGGACATGTTTAATGTTTAGAATTCCAAATCGAGCTGGCCCTGATCATCCTCCAGGCAGAGTGATAGAGGGGAAATCCCTCTGCTTGACACGATAGTCCTTGTAAACTCTTAAATAATTAGGCCTTTGTGACTTTATCGGAAGAAGGAGCCCAAAAACCTTGGGCATCTTGTTAGAAAATCATCAACATAAAGTATTGCCTGAAGAAACCTTCAGGTCATTTCATGAGAAGCCTCATGAAGGCAGTGTTCATTGCATGGCTATTGTGGTTCTTGTCACATACTGAAAGGAAATGTGTGTTTTTATGTCAGTACCCTGGCTGCAGACTGATGATCTGTCCATGAGTGCAGCATATTTCTATGTTTGTATCCTTGTGTGTCTTATTTGTGGAATAGATAGAAGTGGTCATGTATATAAATGACGGGGGGATTTTTTAAATAAAAAAATCAAGAGCTCTAGAGCTTTTATATCTTTTTAGATGAACACTGATAAAATCACTCTCTGCATTTGCACACACATGCATGCATACATACATGTAGTTCTTATTCCCCACTGTGCTTCGTCTTAGTGAGTACTCTTAAACGTCTCACACTCACGCCCTTGGCCAGCCCAGGGGAACTTTTCACATCATAAACTGGTTTCTATTTTCGCCTATCTTGGATGCCTTGCTTTTTGGGCATTGCAGACACAAATTCAGCTCTTATTGTGAAACCGCCTCTTGTCAGCGTACTACACTTGAGTGGACTGCATTGAGGATCTTTGCGTGGTTGATTAGAACGAGCAGCTAGGTGTTAGCAACCTGGTGATAGACAATCACATTTTCATTTCACAAATAAAAAGCAGTCTCTTAGTTGGTTAGGTGGTTTTAGGGAAATAAACTTATTTCCTATTGCCACTCCACTTCTCATTCTGTCTCTCTACCTAACATTCGAGCAATTTTACCTTGTGGGTCAGGGTTCAGGCCACACAGTAGATGCAGACATTATTGCAGATCTTTGTGTTCCAAAAAACCATCAACAAAAGTGGAATGGTCATAAAGCAAAGGTTTTTCTACAACAGGAGTTATTACCTGGGGAAGCTGTCTCTGTTGATAAAGCTGATAATTTACCTGCTCTGTCCTGATAGGATGTGACAGTGTGTCCCTGGAAACTGTAAAAGTGCTCCATTTCGGGCTGAAAAATGACACATTGAACAGGAGTCGCATGTTCATGTCTTTGTACGGGCATGTTTTGGACAGATAAAGACAGATTCATTGCAGATCAAAGGGCCTTTTTGGTTGACCACTGACTCTGAGGATAATTTGTCATGCTGTGGCCAATTAGGGTGATAGCTCCATCTCTCCTCTGCCAATCAGAACTGTTGACTTGTGATGACCTCGTGATTTGCTTTGACCCTGGTGGGATTTGATTGATTTAGCCGGGGGCAGATGTATCTCAGACATGCTGGTAAGGCTGCTTTCTCCAGGCTCAGAGTTGAAGAATGTGTTGAGGACTGCTGATTGGGCTTGAGCTGTCCTTGTTTGTGGAGAGATAGCTATGACTCGTTGTGTCCTCAGTACATAATTGGTTTCATGTAACAGATGTCTTTTCTCTTGCCTCCTTACTCTCATTTTCTGTTGCTTTTTCCCTCCTTCACATTTGTGTCTTCTCTCTGCTGTCACCAGGGTGGAGGCCATGCATCGCCGGCACACCACGCTGAGAGAGAAGGGGCGTCGCCAAGCAGTGCGGGGTCCGGCCTACATGTTCAATGAACGTGGCTCGGCCCTCACTGCAGAGGAGGAGCGTTTTATGGATGCAGCTGAATACGGAAACATCCCTGTGGTCCGTAAAATGCTGGAAGAGTCCAAAACCCTTAACTTCAATTGCGTTGACTACATGGGCCAGAATGCTTTGCAGCTTGCGGTGGGGAATGAGCACCTGGAAGTGACAGAGCTGCTTCTGAAGAAGGATGGTTTGGCCAGGATTGGGGACGGTCTGCTTTTAGCAATCTCAAAGGGTTACGTTCGAATTGTTGAAGCCATCTTAGCCCACCCTGCCTTTGGCGGAGGTCTGCGGCTTGCTTTGAGTCCTCTGGAGCAAGAGATGCGTGACGATGACTTCTACGCTTACGACGAGGACGGGACACGTTTCTCGCATGACATCACGCCTATCATCCTAGCCGCTCACTGTCAGGAGTACGAGATCGTCCACATACTCTTGACAAAAGGAGCTCGCATAGAAAGGCCTCATGACTACTTCTGTAAGTGTTCAGAATGTGTGGACAAACAGAAGAAAGACTCATTCAGTCACTCTCGCTCAAGGATGAATGCATACAAAGGCCTGGCCAGTGCAGCATACCTGTCCCTCAGCAGTGAAGACCCTGTACTTACTGCCCTGGAGCTTAGCAATGAACTGGCAAGACTGGCAAACATTGAAACTGAGTTCAAGGTAAGATGGTTTATGTATTTTTCTGCAAACTACTTTTTTTACTTTACCTGAACATTCCCCTTTACTTGTGAACACTAAAACATACAAAAAGCTACTAATTTAAATGATTTGATCAACGTTTCATTTGGCTGAGAGTGAAAGGGGGGAAAAAGAACACACACACACAAATCATTACATAAAAGTATTGTGAATATAAATCACAGCTTTACTATAACCACAAGTACACACCTTTAGGATGATCATTGTGCTTGACACTTCTTAATTTCTTTAAAATTCTATGAGTTTGGGCGGAACAGAATCCTAGAGCTAAATAGTAATTTGCAAGTCCATCTTAGCCAATGTTTCAATCTGTTCCTGCCACTGAATTAATTCAGTCACAAGATTAGATTTGCCAATGCAGTCCCAGATTTTTAATACTCTTCTGAACCTCGCATTACCAACTCCATCTCCTCTCTGGCTGTGTTGAAATGAGGATTGTTAAGCAAAACACTTTTTGGTTTTATATTTTAAAAAAGTAAAGTCTCTAATTTTGAACACACTTTCTCACTAAGAATAAAGATTCCATGAACACAACAGGAACTAAACCAAATCAGGCTTCTGATGATGTGTGTGGTGGAAAAATTGGTTTCTTGACTGTGTAAATGTCAATTTGAAAAGGGCATCTTGCTTGCAGCTAACAGATTAAATCAAAGCAGCAGGAGCACCCCTATTTGTCCTGAAGCAGGTTTGCTGGCTAGATTTAGGGGACAACATATTCACTAACTTTAACGGTTTGGGGTACTTTACTGCCAGATGGTGTACCTGTCTGGAGTAAGTTGGCTGTAGATATGAGCGTGGTTGGATCAGGTACTTAGTCGGTAGTTGATGTATTAGCAGTAGGATAGCCAACTCAACCCCTATGTTCAGAATCCAACCAGAGAACCAGAAAGGGAGCAAGGCTATCAATTGCTAGAGATGAGACTGGCTCTACCACACAGTTTAGCTCATGTTGACAAACTCCAGCCAAAGTACTGAAGAGTTTGTTGTTCCAGCTGAGCTCAGTCTTTCTCCACAACAACTAACACAGGGTATTTTGAAAAAGGTAAATTTATCATCATGGATAGTGTCACTATGCTGAAAAAAGTCCATCCTTCCTGCTCATCAGAGTGCCAAGAAGTTCCTCCTTTTTTCCCCCAGTTCATTGAGTCTCACTCTTCCTCCATTAATTCTGGTTTGTAAAAGTGTCCTCTTGTGTTCACAGCCAATGGCGTGTTCACTGGCGCTGTAAAATTTGCTCATTATTTGGTTTGATTTTATGTTTGTCTCTTTGAAGCCCTGCAGACCCAAACAACTGATCAGTATGTGGCAGGCAGAAGAACACAAAAGTGCTTTAGAAAAAAAAAGAACAAAGTGAGGAGCTAAGAAACGTATAAATGCTGCATTTCTTACATTAAGATTGTGCTTTGGTTAAGGGTTGTTAAAGCTCCTGGGTAAAACTTTTGGTTTGTGTCAACTTTGGCGCCCCTTGTGAACAAAGCAATCTTTGCTTATCTTGTCATCTAAACAGTTTTAGTGTTTTCTTTGACAAAAAAATCTCCTTTGCTCACTTTTCAGATGTAAATATATAATGCATCGTGATATTATGTAGGAATTGTAAAAATCAGGGCTTTTTCTTCATATGCTCCGCCGTTACCTGCCCCCTTGCACCAGTTTTAGGCGTTAAAAGTTACTTTTAATAACTTGTCAATCTTGTCTCTAATGGTCTTGTGCCTTACCTGGGCACAGGTAACCCCTAACCCTGTCTCTAGCAGTTAACTGCTTAGCTTGTATTCTGGTTCACTAACCAGGTTTTTAACCAAGAAGCTGCAATGATTGGGAATCTCTGCAGCTAATACACTTTCATTTGACTAGTACCACATATGACCTTACTTAAAAAAAAGACCTCGCAGCTTTTTCCTTTAAAAACACCCTGAACATTAGAGCCTAATTGTAGGCTTTGCACTAACAAATGCTGCTCACTGCTCAGCTACTTTTTATTATCTTTTGAGTTAAACTTATGATCATAAATAAAGTTGGCACAATCATAAAACTTGAAGCAATCATACAGCAATAATCTGATCTTTTCATTTCTTCAATTATCGAAGGTCCTTTATTGGCACATGTTGCTGTATTTTGTCCTCCAATCTGTTTACTTGTCTGTCCTTATTTATCCTTTTGTCCGCTTTTTCTGCACACCTCTGTGTTTGTCATTCAGCCTGTCTACTCATCATCCTGTTTCCCATCTGCAGACCAGTTAATGAGAAGGGTTCACCTGAGGGACCACAGTTGTGTTGAAGCTCATCTGTCTCATTACCATCTCATTATCACCCCCTAGACTTCTCTGTGTGTGTGTGACTCCCTGTTCTCCTTCCAACATCCTATCATTGAATATCAAATAATGTTGCGACCGTGTGCCATTGGCCTCAGAAAGCCAGTGTTTCATTGGTGAATATTAAACACAAGATAATTAAGAGTAAGGTAATGACTTGAGGCACCAAGTCATTGGGAGTGAGTATTACACTGGAACTATTAAAACAGGCTTTTTGATCATTTATGAAACATGTGTATTCACTGGGAGGTTTTGACAGGTTTAAGTGCTGCCAATAATGGTATATTTAGAGTGCTACGATGTGTTTGGGCTAGTGGTCGACCAATGACAGTTTTTCAGAGGCCAAAGCCAATACCGATTATGGGAGATCAGGTCACACAATGGCTGTTAAAAAACCTTGTCTTTTTTTTTTTTTTTTTTTGTTATCTTATAATTATGTGTTACAGGTGGATTTTTAATTTGAGAGTTAAGTTATGCTAAAGATTTCAGAAAATGTCTGATATTTCTGTCTATACTAAACTGCATGATTCTACACATCATTACAGGATTTAATCTAAAAAGCCAGCCAGTGACTGTCTTAAATTTGATACTCTGTTAATGGGAAAATGCTAAGGGTGTTGTTGATATCAGCTTGATATGATGCCAATTGCGTCCAAATGCCAATAATCAGCAATCTGTCTATCTCTGATTTGCAACATTCAAATATGCTCAATATCGCTTTCTCAAACTCTAAAATCAGCTCTAAGTATGGGAGGTTTGCAGACAGTTATGGCACCGAATCAGTTTCAATAAGTGATAACATTTACTTGGTCTGGAGAGCTTTATGTTTAATTTTTGTGTTTTTTTTAAATATATCCAACAGTGAAGAAATTCCCAGGACAAATGCACACAACAGTGGTTAAAAAAAGAAGTTCTTGGAATCAATGTGACTAACCTGATCTTATCTAGCTTGTCCGGCTTGTGCTAATAATTAGCTTGTCAGTCACTGCAGTTAACCAGTAGTTAGTTCTGTTTCCAGTTAAAACTTTTCTCTGACGTTGTCTCTGGAATAAACTGTATTTGCTGTGGTTTGGTGGTTTGGTGCCTCTTAAACCTCAGCTTTCAAAACTTCACAACAGTCTACTGTTCATTTGCCTATTTAGTCCTCTCCTCTTACTTTATTTTTTAGATTAACAACAGGAAGTACTTAATGTTGCAGTGATTTAATGCTAAATGTAGAAAAGACTTGTTCTAAGACACCCACCTTGTATATCAACTTGTGCTGGGGGAATATGAAGGTTTATTCATCCACATGATCAGATAGTCAAACTCACTTTCTCAGCCAGCAGCATATATGCAGCCTGTCAGAGCGCAAAGATGGTAGAGCTGCCAGTGTGCTGGTCTGTTGTTTATGTGGGAACTACGCTAAAGGCATGTCAGGACCCCCGTAGTTGGGAGACATTTATCTTTAAACATCAAATATTTCAAGACAGCTCATCAATTTCACACAAAAGCCTGTGGACACTAACACAGACACACATGAAGTGCACACACCCCCATACAGCTTGAGGTGAAACACAAAGACAGTGAAAGACGTGAAGGGGAGGATGTGAATGAAAATTCTCCGATTTATTCTGCTCTCCTCTGGCTTTGTTTTGGGTTAATGTATTTCGAGTAATGAGACCACAAAACCACAGAAATAGTAAATAAAAAAAGTTGAACTGATGGTGGTGAAGTGCTTCTGATGTGCAACTTCACAAACTCTTTTATTCCTCTCTTCTTCTTATCTCTCTATCTTACATCACCATCCTCCCTCACCTCTTCTATGAATGCTTGTGTCACACCCCCACCCCCCCAGTCCACTCATCTGGAACCATTCTCCCTCTGCTTCACATCGTTTCGTACCCATTTTCAATCTCAAAAAACATCCATCCTGTTCTTTTATCTCAGCCCTGAGGCACAAAGCACACGATGCGATTGGATTTCCAAATATACCAAACATATGTAGTGTTACTGGGTGTGTGTGTTTGCTGTTTAATGAAAGAGTCATTAATTAAGATAACATTCTCCAACATCTACCCTGAAGCGTCGCCTTTTGCTGAATGTAGCCAGACATGGGATTGAAATTGATTTCTCTTACTTGTAGCCTGAAGACATAATAGGATGGCCTCTGCTTGATTTTCCCATAAGCCCCATAGGTGCTGCCATTGCTTGATGCCCAGAAGTTATAGTTCAAGAATCTCAGATAGCAATGTGGCTTTTTGACTGACCATACCAGTATCTTAGCCTGTTAGGATAAATTCTAGATACTATCACATATATGTTCTCTATTTGGCATTTTGGAGTACAAACACATTGTGACTTCACATCGTTTTAGATTAAGGTACGTTGTGTACTTGAAGTAGTTTCGGACATGGTCATGCCTGCTCAAAGCTAAAGTGTGTCCCAAAGGTGCAGGAGGCAAGAAAAGAGTCGATTTTCTGCCGAGTCTTGTGTAAAGGGTTTGATTAAAGTTGGCATTATTATCAAACTGTAATGGTAAGCTTGGACACACAACAAACAGAGTACTGAATGCATGATAGGAACTAGCCCTCAGGGACACCAAACCTGCCAGAAGCTCCAAACTGCTAACTGTTTGCTGCTGCGCCAACTGTTGAGGAGCAGAGAGAGGCAGGATGTAGGAGAGAGGAAGTGTGAGGGAAAAAGAGTGAAGAGAGAAAAGAGGAGAGGGTTTAAATCTGATCAGTGAAGGTCTAGCAGGAATTGTTAATTGTTTTAAAGTGAAAGAAATGACCATATATAGAACTGGGGGATTCAGAAGTAAGAGCCTAATTGTGTTTGACCACAGTGATGATTTCTTCCCCAGAGATTGATAAAATATACCTCCTTATACCTTCAAACTTACCTGCCAGATATTATGTTGCTGGTTGAAGAGGAAACAAAGATTAAAATAAATGTACTGGTTGCAGATGCATTACATTATCCCCACTGGAAGTTGGGTGTGTAAGGCACTTCACAGCACAATATAGGCTACCCAAGGGCATCTTTTTGCCACAATGTTTTTCTAATATGGGTGCACAATGGGGTTTTAGCATTTTCTTTTGTTTTTAATTGTTCTGGCACTGTATGGCACAAGAATTTCCTCTGATTGAATTGATGCTCCAGAGAGCTTTTTAGTATAGTCAGGGTTAGCCTTAACTATAAAAACGGATTAGGGCCACATAAAGAGAAAAAAAACTAATTAAAGAAGGGAGATTAAAGTCGAAATTACAAGATTAAAAAAATCAAAATTTCATGATTAAAAAATTGAAATTATGTCAATAAAGTCGAAATTTTGAGATTAAAAAAATTACATTTTGAGATTAAAGTCGAAATTTTGACTTTATTCACGTAATTTTGATTTTTTTTAATCTTGAAATTTCAACTTTAATCTCGAAATGGAAATTAGAAAAATCTCCCTCCTGTAATTATTTTTTTTCTGTTCTTGTGGCCCTCATCCTCTGCCGCAGGCAGAGTGCTGGCGGAAAGTTAAAATGTCCTGAAAATTTTTTTTTTCACACACCAAGTGAAATATTTCAAGACTTTTTTGTTTGAATCTTGATAATTATGGCTTACAGCTCATGAAAATCAAAAGTCCTCTAATTAAAAACATCAGAATATTACAAAACACCAATCCATTGAAAGGATTTATAACACAGAAATGTTAGCCTTCTAGAAAATAATGTTCATTTATGCACTGAGTTAATAGTCGGGGCTCTTCTTGCATGAATGAATGCATCAATGCGGCGTGGTATGGAGGCCATCAGTCAGTGGCGTTCAGCTCTCCTTGACTTCAGTGTCCCTCATCTTTCTCTCAATGATATAACAGAGATTCTCTGTGAGCTGGCTGGCTGGCCTGTCAAGCACAGTAATACCATGGTCAGCAAAACTGTTTGGGTACTTTTGGCACTGTAGGCAGGTGCTAGGTCCTGTTGGAAAAAGAAATCTGTATCCCCAAAAAGCTTCTTAGTAGATGGAAGCAGGAAGTGCTCTAAAATGTTATATGAGACTTTAGGCTGCATTGACTCTGGACTTGTTTAACACTGTGGACCTGGAGGCTCTGGGACCTTGATTTCCAAATGAGATGCAAAATTTACTTTCATCTGAAAACAGGACTTTGGACCACTAGGCAGTAGTTCAGTGTTTTTTTCTTCTTAACCTAGGTGAGACACATAAGACATCATCTCCGGTTCAGGAGATATTTGACAGTAGGAACATAACACTAGTGGTCTGTTTTCTGGACACGTCTGTGTGGAGTAGTGTGTAGGGGCTCTTGATGGCCTGTCTCCAGCCTTAGGCCACTTCTTGTGAAGCTCCTCCAAGTTCTATAATCTGTTTTGTTTGACAGTCCTCTCAAGGTTGAAGCCCTCCCTACTGCTTGTGCACCTATTCCTCCCACATGTTTCCCCTCCGTGCAGCACTTGGTGAACAGCCAGGCTTTCTAGCAATGACCTTCAGAGGCTAACCCTCCTTGTGGAGTGTGTCAGCAATCTCTTTCTGGACTAACTGTCATTTAGCAGTCTTCCCAGTGATTGTGTGTTTGTGTATGGAACCAGAATGAGAAATAAAGGCTCAGTAAACATTAGCAAGTGCTCAGAGTCAATAAGCTGATTAGAGCTCTTGTCAGGACTGAAGTAACTGACAAGAAACTGGACTTTGTCACAGTATTCTAATGTTTTAAAGACAATGGATTTTTGATTTTCATGATTGTAAGCCATTATCTTCAAGATTCAAACAAATAAAGTCCTTTAATACTTGAATTTGTGTATAATGAATCTAGAATATATGGAAGTTTCACTTTTTGATTAAAATATTGGAAAAATGAACATTTTCAGGTCATTCTACATTTCTTAAGTTGCCCCAGTATTCGATCTCCATTCATTGCCCATGCCTGTTTGCTCCTCTCTCTGCTCAGCTGGTGTTGGTGTGTAAACTAGTACTGACTTTTATGTGAACGAGACCCTTTCTGAAGAGACCAACCCCAGAAACCATAATAACCCTCAAAAGCATTCCTTGATATGTAAAGATGTGCATATAATATATTCACAAGTGTCAAAATTTTACTGATCAAATAACCTAAAGTAATGCAAAATATATCCTAATACCGTCTCTCCTTATCCCTCCTCTCTTTGTCACTGTGTGTGTGCACACAGCTACTGGTATTGCAAATTAAGGACCTGTTTTTTTATGTAAATGAGATCATTTTCTCGTAGCTTTACCCTTGAATCCACTCTTACTAAAGTATAGCAGACAGCCTTTTAAGTTCAGGGATGGCCTTAAACTTTGGGTAAAACTTTTGGGAAAGACAAGGTTGACAGCAGCAACTCACACAGCCTGTATGAGGGCTCTGAAGCAACCGTGGCGGTCACATGGCCAACAGACATTCTCTGTGAAACAGGGTCTAGGAAGGACTTTAAAAGAAAAAGTCTGATATCAGTCTATATTAATTTAGATAAATGCATTTGAGTTCTGGGACTTAAGATCTCAGATGCTTTCCACAAACAAGGTTGTGCCAATGACAGATTCAATCAGCCAAACTAGGCTGTGTTTGCTGCAATGATCAATCAACTTTCTTTAGGCAAGAATGAAGTATAAAGATAATACAGCTCTCTGATTTCAGCTAGTGGTCAAAATGCACTTTTTAGGTTGTTCAAGCTGATTCTTAGATGGAAAGGTTATGAACAAATTCACAATCAAGCACCATATTACAATTTCAAATGACTGTGGTGGGCTGACATTTCTCAGATCATTAATCATAAAAACAGAGCAGCGCCTCAAGTCCAAAGACTGAGCAGCAGGCAGGAATGATGGAGAGGAAGTTTGGAAGCATAACTTCAACTTGTCTAAAGAGCCTAAAGAGTATCCAAAAAAGACAAGTGACTGACAACACTGTCACTTAGGTGTCAGAAAACCTGCAGTGCAGGTAAAATGTGTTCAGCTAGAGAGAAAAACACGTGAGGCAAACAGGACGGTAAAAATACAGGACTGACAGTGAGCAGTTGAAGGCTCCACCAAGACCTGATTTTTCTTGGTAGTTCTGTATGATTATACTTTTAAGGAATGAATTAAAGTTATCTTCTTTCTTCTTTATCTTCTTGTTCTTCCTCTTATCTTTCTTTCCATCTGTGCTCTTGAAAACGCTTTCTCTACCTAATCAAATAATTGTCTCTTTCCCTGCAGAATGACTATCGAAAGCTGTCCATGCAGTGTAAGGACTTTGTGGTGGGCGTGTTAGACCTCTGTCGGGACACAGAAGAAGTGGAGGCCATCCTTAACGGTGACGTGGACCAGTGTCCTCCAAGCCCCTACAATCGACCCTGCCTTAGCCGAGTCATACTGGCCATCAAGTATGAGGTCAAGAAGGTATAATAAACATCAAAATAACTGATATATCAGTAATGTGTGAATGTGAAAGACTGCAGGGACTTACCGTTGCTTTATAGACTTAGGTCAAATGCCAGGGGGGTCCAGAATTTTTTTTACTTTATGTTGGTATGAAAACAATGAAGTATCCCTGTACCTATATACCTGGCTGCAGTGAGCTGTAATGCCACTTTTAAGCAAGCTTAAAGGGATATTTCAGTGTAAAATTAAGTTAGGGTCAAACACAACATAACACCAAGTTGGCCACCCGTCCAGAGATGAATGTTGCCAACCGCTTACTTCTCGAGTTATACCAACTTTAGTAATGACTGCAGGATAGTAATACACAGCAGTCTCAGGAGCCACGCGCACACTTCAACCAATACGCCACTCCACAAATAATGCTCAGAACAGCACCTAACTTCATCAACAGTACATATAGGGTCCCAGCCACAGCACTAGCCACCAAACATCTTTTTGTTTGGTGGCTAGTGCTTTGCCTGATTTCTTTAGCAAAGAGACTAAACACAACTCACCTACTCTCTTCCAGCAGCTGCTTGTTTGTAGCCCATTACGAACTACAGCTGGGTGACGCAGCTCAAGGAAGAAAATTTATGATCATTACTTGATCATTTCCCAGAAGTAATAATCACCATCATAACCATTTTTGCACTGCAGACGCATTAGTTTTTCTGCCGTAGCGTCTCGGTCTGATTGCATTTCCATGAGGAAATGATCATAAATGTTCTTCCTTGAGCTGCATCACCCTGCTGCATTTGGTGATGGACTTTGAGGTCTCCGTACAAACAAGCGGCTGCCGGAGAGTAGGTGAGTCGTGTTTGGTCTCCTTGCTTAAAAAAATTAGGCAAAGTTAAAAAGATGTTTGGTGGCTAGTGCTGTGGCTGGGACCCTATATGGACTGTTGATGAAGTTAGGTGCTGTTCTGAGCATTATTTGTGGCTATAGAGTGGCGTTTTGGTTGAAATGTGCGCGTGGCTCCTCAGACACTGTGTATTGCTATCGTGCGGTCGTCACTAAAGCTGGTATAACTAGAGAAGCAAGCGGTCAGCAACATTCATCTCTCGAGGGGGTGTCTTACTGGGTGTTACGGTGTGTTTGACCCTAACTTAGATTTATGTCGGAATATCCCTTTAAGCAAGCAGGTTTCTGTTAGTCATATTATTCACTTGTATGTTTTCTGTATTTTTATGTTTTTTTGGTCTCTGAATGCCTTCTGTAAACAACAAACTGGCTTAAATGTTAGAAAACTAATCCCTGCTGACGAAAGGTGTTTTTACAAAATGTCAAACGTAATCCTTTTTCCCATTGCCCTTCACCAAACTCTGTTTATTTTATGAAGAAACACACACAAACACTCACTCACACACACACACACACACACACACATTTCTGTTTGACCTTCATAGCCGAGAGTCTTTAAGCAGGTATTTCCCCAGCGTGAGTGTGCCTGTGTAGGTGCACGTGTTTGTGGCGGGCAGTACACAGCCTGTTTGTGTTCTCTTCCTGTGCTAAATTGCGTGACCAATTCTCAGAGAGCTAATTACACAGGAGGCAAGAAAAAAGGGAGGGATGGATCGTCATGGAAACCAGGTGGGGCATAACTGCTTGTAGAGCATGGGGCTGAGCGGAGGCAGGGTTCATGTCACGGGTCACTGACTTAATGGATTGGTCACTGCTGGGAAATGAAGTTAACAATGATGGTGGCTGCGTGTGGTTACCTGCTACATGTAGAAACGATCGAGGGTGTATATACCGAACATGACTGAAAAAACAAAGAGGCTAACTGAAGTCCAGGGAGGGCAGGTTTGACAAAATGGAGGCCTGCTGAACAAATCTTTGATGAGAACGAAAAACGATACACAAACGCTAAGCTTGACTGTTACACTAGTCAACCTCCTACTGAGCATTGATTGCTCTGCTGTTCGCATCCTTCCTCCAGCAGGAACAAAAACATCCATCCACTCCTTCCTCAGCAGACTGCTGGTTGCTCTCATTTATCTCCTCCTTTTTCTGCCACCAGATGCTGAAAAGCCAGACCAAGCTCTGTCTGGCAGAGCAAACATGCTCTAGTAATGAATGTAAACACTCAGTGATTCCTATTTTCTGCCTGCTCTATTTTGCACGCTGCCTGCCTAACTGATTCTCCAACCTCTTTGTTGATAGTTTTTCATACTAAATACAGCCAAGAGGCGGCTGTGAATTCTAGCGTGCTGTGAATAATGTATTTTTATCGCAATGATTACTCAACAGATCTGAGCTGAATAAAAAGCAGTCTGCATACTCAGGTTCTGGGGGGGTACCTTGAATATCAGGTTACATTGTCAGGTCACATTAATGTCACATCATATGATAAGGTTACCCCCCATGAGTATGATACTTATTTTATAACTAAAGTGATTTTACTCTTAAAAAGTTAACGCAATTTAAAAGCACCAAAGAGCACAAAGAGTGTAAAATAAACAAGATTTAATCTTCTGCTTTTTGTTTAAAAATTAAAACAGGGTTTTAGAGTGAGACTCGAGTGGAAAAATGGTCCAGAGGTAGCACAAAGGACCATCAAAACAACATCATTTATTGAAAATAAACCAACAATAGGTCCATGACACAAAAAAATCTCATACATAAGTTGCAACAGGTGGATGAAATCTAGTATCATTGTCGTGGATGGCGTTTTCTTCTGATGTTCAGTAACCATACTGAGAGACACATGGGATTTATCAGACGGTTTATTCAAGGCAGTATCATGGTTAGCCATTGCATGAGCAGACGAGCAGTGCAATAACAATGACATAGACTGGCATGGCAATGTTGTAAGTGAAGCATTTAACTTAAGGTCACTGTATGGTCAGTTTGTGGTCAGCAACACGTCTAACTTGACTGTATTGAACCTCTTAAATGTTCAAAGTCATGCGCTATTACAAAGGGACTACTGAGGAAGGATACATGGATATAGAACTAGTAGTTAATCGAGAACACTCACAATATAAAAGGTTGAATATGAAGGTGTTGAAATAAATGCGATCAAATCATCAGAATCCCCCCAAAAAAAACATGTCTCACGTATCACTCCTATACAGACTTTGATTAGCTGGATCATGAGAAGTGAGAGGAAAAGAACATTTTGAAAACCTTCTAGCAGAATTTAGTGTTTGTGTGTAAACATCTAGACAGATTTTTGTATTCTCACTGTATTTTTTCCGCAAGGTTGTTTTCTACCAGATAATGAGCCCCAATATAACTCTGTCTCTGCTGTCAGTGTGGTATATAAGCCACCTTCCTCCTGTGTGTGACCACTGGGCTATTTTAATTCAGCTGAATATTTGGAGTCAAGATGTTGCTTAATGTGCTTCTGTTGTTGAAACTTCATAGATTTCTCGGGGGGGACTGCTGAAACAATCAGAAAAAAAATGCAAATACTTTAAGACGACAGGCTGGGAAAAGCAGATTGCTTTTTTGAAGGGTCTTTCTACTGCTAATTGCATCTTTTCTCTGTTGTTCCTTCAGCTCTGTGCCCACATCGTCTCTCCAGAATAATTAATTGTTTTAAATTTCTTGTCCATCCCTCCCTGCAGTTTGTTGCCCATCCCAACTGTCAGCAGCAGCTGCTAACTATTTGGTATGAGAATCTTCCCAATCTGAGGCAGCAGTCTGTCGGAGTGAAGTGCTGGACGGTGCTGGGGGTCACTGTGGGTCTGCCCTTCCTGGCCATCTCCTATTGGATAATGCCTTGTAGCAAGGTATGGACACACATATACACACTCCAAGAAAAGAGACCCACTGTACTACAAAATAGGACTGACAAATACCAAGAAACTTTAGGCTAACTCAGAGTCTGTATTTCCTTTAAGTTGGTTTGCCTCTGACCAGGGAATACTGCAAGTTTCCTTATGCTGGTTCATGGTTCATGTGAAGTTTTCTGAAACAATCCAAGCTGCCAACAGTGGAGCCTTGTTTCTTCTGATTTTAGGCAGACTGTGGTTTATTAGCTGAGGGTTAGGGATATTCCAGCGTAAAATTAATTTCGGGTCAAACACACCGAAACACCCAGTTAGACACTCCCTCTAGAGATGAATGTTGCCGGCCGCTTGCTTCTCTAGTTATACCAACTTTAGTAACGACTGCACCATAGCGAGACATAGCGGTCTGCGGAGCCATAAACAAACCTCAACCAAAACGGCACTCTATAGTCACAAATAATGCTCAGAACAGCACCTAACTTCATCAACAGTACATATAGGGTCCCAGCCATAGAACTAGCCACCAAACATCTTTTTAACTTTGCCTAATTTCTTTAGCAAAGGGTTGTGGTTGTTACTTAAGTTGGTTTAACTAGAGAAGCAAGCGGTTGGCAACATTTCGAGGGGGTGTCTAACTTAGTGTTACGGTTTGTTTGACCCTAACTTAATTTCACGCCGGAATATCCCTTTAACTTTAAGTCTCCCAACTACACTTTGTCTCCATGAGGCTGCAGTGTGTTTCTGTCAAAGGTAAACCATGAAGAAAGCATTGTTTTAAACATCCAAACTTTTTAATCACATTGATAACAGAACACTCCCAAAAAGAAACTATGTAATTAAGTACAAATAAATGCTAACAGCAATAAAACAACTCTTTTACAGCCTGTGAACCCCTTAAAATTAGTACTGACCAGACCATTTGTGACTTATTGAAATCACTTTGATTGATTCTAATGGCAAAATGACTATTAGTGAAATTTTAACCCCTAAATATTGGTCAAAATATTGTCGTCAATGAGGTGGTGCGACAGACAGAAAAAAAACACAAGCTACAGAAACAAGCTGCAAAAACACCATGGTTTTATTTTTGAGAATCTCTGTGCAATCATCATTTTATAATGGAGGCCCGAGGCACTTCAGCACAGGCTGTTAATACTCCATCGAGCAAATTACAATTTGTAAAGTGACACAGTATGACATAAACACACACACACACATACATGTACGCGCACACAAACAAAATCTCACACCAAGCTGAGTGCAGATCTGCTCATCAACCTAGATAATCCTCGTCCTTGACATCAAGTGGTTTTCTGTTTGTTTGTGTGTATGTGTGTGTGTTGGAGAACAGTTTTGAGGACCTTCAAGTGGGTCCAGTCAGGTGTGTCTATTGAACTAATAATTTGTACACTGAGATCAGCAGATCTCGAGTATGTGGGAGAGCAATGACACTGAGAGCATCTCAACCAGAGAGACGTGAATTCAATTATGAGACAAGAGCAGCTTCTGACATCAGTGTGTCCAAAAACACCTGCGAATGCTAATATTTCCATTTGGTTAATAATAAAAACAACCAGAGAACTAATCTACCATTTACTGGTGCAGGTGAGAGTAGATGTATTATTACTGTGAATATGAATATGCATGCAATATGTAAGAGCAGTTTTATGCTTGAAAAAGTAATAGACAGATTAAACCATAGCCAAGAAACAAAACGAATGCATATGCATGCATATGATGGTGTGACAGCTGCTCACTAGAGACAAAAGAGTGATAAATGGATTGGACAAGATCACCAACAGATTTGGGTTGCCTGTGTGCCCTCCATCACCTGAAGCCTATCTTGTAATTTTGTTCTGTTCAGCTCACCAATTGCTCATCTCTTGCAGCGCATAATATTCTCCATTTCCACTCCACCGTTACAAATTACCATCAGAGCCCTCAAACCAAACCACATTTCTTATCAGCAGGGAGAGATAAAGAAGATATTAAAATTTTTTGCAGCACAAGAATACCAGTAAGTAATAAGTTATCAAAAAGATATGATCGGAGGGTGATGAAAACCAGATGCTTATTTGATGTTAAATGATTCTTATTGAGATAAAGGAGTGGGAAAAAGAAAGCACACTTGTAGTGGTGTGACATACATTACAAGGTGTAAAATAGGAAGAAGCTTTGGATTTTCCAGAGTGACAGAACACAGAAAACAAAATAAGAGCATCTAATGTGTTAGGAGGAAAATGTGTGAAAGGCCGTTGAGTTCATTTCTGTCTACTACAAGCTTTGAGGTTCAGCCAAGCAATTACTATGCTGTAATTTTTTTTTTAATAGACTTTTATTGCCTGGTTCAATTTGTTGCATCTTTTTATTGATTCTCTATTACTTCAGTGATTCAGTGCGGAGAGAAGGAAACAAGAACAAAGCAAGAAAACAGAAAAGGAAATAAAGAAACCTAATAAAAGGAAGGAACTACTGTGATTTTGTCATTAATTTTGTGTATATGGTTATGATGCATCTTGTTAAGAGAGAGCTGAAGAGGAGCAAGAACAAAAGCAGAAGCTCGACACTGTACACAAGAGTGAGAATCCCCATAATTTACTGTCATTAAACCACAGAGTGAACAGCATGACAGAGGGTGTTTCCTGCATTGAGATAAGTGTTCATTCAGAGTGAATCCCTGTCTGCAAACATGAATAGACGTAAGTCAGGATTGACTCTCCCAGGTGAAAATGTTTCAGGGAATGATAAAGGGCAGAGCAGCTCTGTTCTGCTCTTTTGTGGACTTTTCATTTCAATCCAAACCTTGTTTATTTACACACGCCTGCTGCCAGCGGCCGCTGTTCTGCATTTGGAGGGAAGATCAGCACTCGTCACAACTGATAATAAAAAAGAAACCCACCGTGTTTGCAGCCTCTCCGCGGCAGTCATCCATATCTGTGGTGACCGTCTCGATTAATCTGGGCGCTTAAATGAATCATTATTATTGTGAAAGGAGATGGGATAAACAAATGAGTCTGAGCCATCACAGAGGCAGACGGCGCATCAGAGAAGGTTTGCAGGGCTGAGATTAACCAGACATGCCTTTCTGTCATGGTTCAATTGTGAGAGTGGTAGGAGAGCAGCTATTGGGTATGACGTGTTATTGTGCATGCAGAGAGTAGAGGTATCCTGTGGGTAGTTAATATTGAACACAGCAGGTTTAGAGAGAGGCAAATGTTGAGATCACAATGATGTCTGCACGGGTTGGGAAGTGCGCTGGTGTGAATGTGTATTTTTCGATGTAATGTTGCATCATATATTCCCAGATGGTGCATTTTCATAAATAATTGTCCAGTATATAGAAACTCTGTCATTATATTTCTGTGAAAATGGCTGGTGGTTGACCGCAGCAGTAAATTACAGCAGCTGCTGTTTGCGTGCTAAAATGGTTGTGTAGTGGTGCTTTTCAGATTTTTATCTCTAAGGAGCAAAATCTCTGCGACTGTGCAAATCCCTCTGATTTACATGAAACAGGTGTTTTCCTTAGCTTTGATTTCACTGCTTTGCATAGCAGTTTTTTTAAGAAACAAATGGTACCGCAGTAACATAATGATGCTAATGCGCCATCTTCTGGGTAAAACACCTTCTCCTGCATTTATCCTATGGAGTACAGGATACAGTTCACTTTTTATATGGCAAAAAATGTTACGAATAGCATTTAGATATATACTCATAAAATATACCTGCTGCAAAGTTGGTGGAGGCAAAATTAGATCTAAAAACCTCATGGTTCCAGGGTGTTTATTGTAGAGTTAATGAGGCAAACTTATTAATACAGATATTGCTGTGTGTATTAGATTCTTCAAATAGAAAACAAACACTTAAAGTTTCTTAAGAGCTGATTGTGTCTCCATAATTAACAAACCAGTCTTTCTCTTTTAAGTATTTAGACACCACAAATAACAGACCTCTCTATTAACCAATCTCTTCTTACCCCCAGCTGGGTCAGATCCTGAGGAGTCCCTTCATGAAGTTCGTGGCTCACGCTGTCTCATTCACCATATTCTTGGGTCTCTTGGTTATCAACGCCTCCGACCGCTTTGAGGGGGTCAAGAACCTGCCCAACGAGACCATCACAGACCACCCCAGACAGGTGTTCAGAGTCAAGACCACCCAGTTCTCCTGGACAGAGATGCTGATCATGAAGTGGGTGCTGGGTGAGTCATCTCGTGGCCCTTAGATTGCCCCGTCCACACATTGTGAGGCACCGTAACATCCAATCAAACATCCAATCAAAATGCAAATGGGAGTAAAAAAAGTCCCTGTCAAAGCAGATCCTCCATCCTGATAAGACCCATGAGAGAGTTGAGGTAAAATGTTTCCTGGTGGAGTTTCACATTTACTTTTCAAACAACAAGGAACAACAAGGATAAGACAGCAAAGTGTCGAGATTTTTCAATACAATTCAGGAACGTTATTGATCCCCAAAGGGAAATTCATCCGTCTGAAATCGCATGTAATCTACTATTTATAGAAGGATTAAAAAGTCATTCTAAGTCTCTTCAGTTCAACCGTCTCTGGGAGGCAATTTCTGAAAAGAGATGAACAATTTTCTCCAAACTTTGATAAAAGGCACAATTTTGAAAGAATGCACACAGCCCCATAACAACCTCTCGATGAAAGCACGGGCTGAAACAATAAACAAATCGTTCTCTTTTATTCTCCAAAGATCAAATAGAAGCTTCAAATCTGGATGCAGACTTGCTGTTGCAGGGATCACACTGAGTCTAGACAATAAGCTAGAAGGGTATTTGGAGGTTGACCTGAGAGCTGGTTTCAGAAGAGGGATTAGAGGGCAGTGTACAGAGAAAGACGGATGAAGAAGCAGTTAAAGGAGCCAGATGAAAGTAAAAGGAGGAGTGGAGAAGAAGACAGACTCGAAGAAGACAGGGAAAGAGACAGGGATGACAGGAAAACAAAGACAAACTCAACAGATAAATAGCCCGTGGCAATATCTGTCAGACCTCAGCTGCTTCCCATCTGCTGATGTTCTTGCTTTCTACACACTTAAGTACACACATCTAATAGAATTATGTGAGTGCTTTGTGTATGTTGGTGCACATATGGTTGTGCTTTTATTTGTTTACGTGTAATGGCGCCATCCTTTTCCCAGGCATGGTAATTTTTTGGCAGCAGGTGGTTGTTGTGTGTTTTCCCAAGTCTGTGTGAGTGTTTGTGTATTTGTGCGTGTGTGGAGTGCAGTGGCTCGGGTAGAGCAGGGTAATTGTAATTCCAGCCGCATGCTTTGAAGGCCCAGTAATTGTTATAGAGATGATACTGATCAGGGTTTCCTTTTCAGTAAGCAATTTTCTCCTTGTTTCGGCTCCAAATGGAGAATGACAGAGTGGATGCGTGGGTGGAATCAGGCTTTTCACTGAGTGTGTGTTTGTGTTTGTGTGTGTGCACCTGAGCTCTAAATGGAGGTGTTTGAGTAGTGGGGTATACATTATTAGCTTTGTTGTAGAGATCTGTTGTTTGGGCAAATCCCTGCATGTAGAAACTTGTTTCTCTTTGTGTGAGTGCCTTTTCCAGCTCCTTCATCCCAGTCTATTTTTGTCGTCCTCCTCTGTTTTCCATCTTACCATTGTGTATTCATTCTTATGTATACAGTATGTATTTATGCGTGTCTCCTCCTCTCTCAGGTATGATCTGGTCAGAGTGTAAAGAGATCTGGAGTGACGGGCCCAGAGAGTACATCATGCATCTGTGGAATGTTCTGGACTTTGGCATGTTGTCTATCTTTGTAGCATCTTTCACAGCACGCTTCATGGCGTTCCTCAAGGCATCCAAAGCCCAGCAGTATGTAGACATGCATGTACCTGACGAAGACCTCAGCAATGCATCACTGCCTGAGGAAGTCGCCTACTTTACATATGGTGAGTAAAAATATGGATGAAGCGTGAGCGGTGTTAGCTATACAGCTCCGGATGGAAGGTTTTCAAGATTTCCATACATGTTTTGTTTCGTTTGCTGTTTTTTTGTGTGTGTTTACTCAAAATTTCCCAAAATAGATAGATAGATGGATGGATGGCTTTATTAAACCCCAAAGGGAAATTCAATAGTTATAGCAGTCTGGCAATATACAATAAAATAAATAAAATACTGAAAAGACCTTAAATAGAATACCTGAATACTATGAATCTTACTACAACCAGTTGTCGCTAGGACAGCGCCATCTAAAATCTAAAATATAGTGGCCTAACGTGATACTTTTTTCTTGGTCTCCCAGGCTACTCTGACACCTTTTAGTATCTGGAATGTTTATTCTCTTTCTGCAGCAGATTAGTGAACCTTCCAGTTTCTTATCTACCGAACAATTTTCCCCACAAAAAGCCAATTTAACAACACCTGATAAAACGCCAACATATTTATGAAGTGCTTGAGCCGGCGTGTTACCTCAGTTAGTGATAAGGCAGCAAATTGGATAAATACGTGTTCAAAAATGTCAGGATTAACTCAAACCCTGAGCAGGAGCGTGGCTTTGTGGTCTAGAATAACAATGTAGATACAACATGTCTAACTCAAGTGTCTCGAATATTTTCGTACAAATGGTTACGTTTTGTGTTCCACTCAGATTGAACATAAATACTTTCCAAACGTCCTGTGTGTGCATGAGGAGTGTGCATGTTGTTCTTATCTGACTGTTATGGGGAAATATTTGAGATCACAACGCTGCAACACTTTCACTCCGCTACTCCAAGAGAAACTCCTCCACAGCTTCTTAAAACACAGCTGCAGGTCACACAGGACTGTACACTTCATTGTGGGTGACTCAGAGAACCTTCATCAGTGCTGTCATCTGGTGGTGTGAGTCTGACATGACACATCAGACAATAAAGATGGTAGTGTACTGGAGTTTGTGTTATTTTTCTTAGAGTTACTCATACATTCCCTTGTCTTAACTTAACAGCGCAAACAGTATGTGTGAATTATACTCCAGTTGTAAAGAAAAAAGTAGAGATTCCCATGTTTTCTCTCATAACTATTGTATTTATCCTCTCCGTGTACATGTCTGAGTGTCTCTTTTGCTTCCCCTCCCTTTTTTCCTCCCACTCTGTCCTCCATGAGGGATAATTCTTTTCCACACTGTCCGACAGCCTCATTTTTATTTTCTTCCCTCCCTTCTTACCCGCATCCTCCCGTCTTATTCCCTCTTTGTGTAATCCTCCCTTTTACTAGAACTTCTTCTGCAAAGCCCACATTCCTTAGAGGCAAGATTACACTCCTTAAACATCCTTAACAAACATTTAGATCCTTCTGTCACCAAAAGTTTGTTCAGCGCTCAACATCCAGCCAAAGAAGTGTTCAATCTCACAAAATGTTTGATGCTGCAATAAAAGAAAATGTAACATTAAAAAAACCCTTTGATCCATTTTAAAATCTGGTCTTAATATTGCTTGAAATTCTCTATGGATATGCTGCTGTGCAAGATTATTGGATGCTATTAAGGTGATTAAGTTTACTCTTCTTGCATACCTAATGCATCAGAATTTTTCAAGTGTGAAAGTATTATCTGGGTGAAATCCAAAGCAGGGATCTATTTATTTCCCGTAAGACCAGGGAAACAAACAAACAAACACTGAACTCTCCGGCTTGACTCCACAGATGCTCATTCAGATGAAACATCAGCAGCTTACTCAGCCACTCTTTTTTTTTTTTCCCCCTCTCCTCCAGCCAGGAACAAGTGGCGCCCCTCAGACCCTCAGATCATCTCAGAGGGCTTGTACGCCATCGCTGTGGTACTGAGTTTCTCTCGCATCGCATACATCCTGCCAGCCAATGAGAGCTTCGGCCCGCTGCAGATCTCTCTGGGGCGTACGGTCAAAGACATCTTCAAGTTTATGGTCATCTTCATCATGGTGTTTGTGGCCTTCATGATCGGCATGTTCAACTTATACTCATACTACCTGGGAGCCAAGTACAATCCTGCCTTCACCACGTGAGTAATGCCCGGCAGCAGATGTGTTGTTTTTTTTTTTTCAAGTGTGAGTCTGTGAGTTGTGTCTAATCATTTGACTAAAGAAAAGTGAAGTTTATTTATGTGGTGCCTTGAAAAGAGCGAGGCCATAAAGTGCCTTGCAAAGTTAACTGTAAAAATAAGTCTATAAAAAACTGTCAAATAAAAACGACCAATAAAACACAACCACTCATAATTACAAACACTTCTCAGCAGCAAAAGGAAAAGTGAAGGACAGATTTAGGAAACAAGTTTTAAGCTGCTTATAAAAAGTTTCAACAGAGACTGAAAATCAAGAATCTTGAGGAAGGACACAGAGTTTTAAGAATGAGCCCTTTAAAAGCACTCTCCTCTTCTTGTCAAGTCACACGCATTTTTGAGTGTGTGTATCTACATCTTTATGTCTGTACGAACCCAACCTAACTAATCCATGTCCCTTCTCTGATTATTTGATACCATTATTGGCTGTTGAGAAGAAAAACAAACTTTCATCAGACTTATCTGATTTGGGTCCCGTGTGACTGTAGTCGCTCAACAAAGCCACTGAACATGTAAATCCCGGGGATGATCTCAATTGGCACTTGTCCTCTTTGATGAGGCTGTTTGCAGGGTTCATTAAATCCTTGGTGCTTTATCAGTGGCAGCGATCGAACTCTAATCTTCCCTTCGGCCTAATAACAGCAATCAGGCTGTTTGCTTGTATTTAATTGGAGAATGGTAAATGGGTTGAACCTGACCATAAAATCAATGCCGAACACTGTGAAAGATAGTTTTGTCTCTTTTGTGGCTTCAACAAAGTTATGTGCAGGAAAATGGGAGTTCTGAACATAATTGTGGTCACTGTGTTAAAGTAGAGAGACCACATCTGCTTCCCATTAAAACTGCTTTAAAAAAAAAAGCATCAAGTGATGTTTTGTGACAAATGGCAGTGAGAGATACCAGTGACAGGTTCTGTCTGAACTCTGAGCTAAAGCATCAATAGTGTTGAAATGTCTCATGTTTGATAAAAGTAACCTTGATTTGGCATGCAGTTAAAGACGAGGCAAAACATCTCAGGCTTATTGATTTTTTTAAAATCCTTTTGGTTCTGGATCAATGTGGATGTGAAAGCGCTGAGAGCAAGATGAGCTTTGGGAGATGTTTTGACAGTGTCTCCGAAGTTTTTGATGTCAGTCCAAACTATTTGGCAAAGTTTCTCAGAAGTAAAAGAGCTTTTCCCATCATTTAACTAAATGTCAGAGTGCAGAAAAAAAGGATTTTATCAACCAACTCTGCTCTCAGGTAGAATTTATCACAAGAAGGTAGCATTCGAAAATGATCATTGAGACGACTGTACAAGATGCTTAATTCCAGTATGACAATGTTATTGTTTCCTAATTTCCTTCAGTACAGTAAAGTGGTGAGGAGGTTCAGTCCATCTGTATTTAGGAAGAGCAAGATCCAGAGTCCTCCTTGATATGCTTAACCTGCAAAGTGTTGCATTGAACTCAATCATGACACGCGTACACGACAAAATGCTTACAGTGCGTTCTTCTTCTTCTTCTTCTTCTTCTTCTTCTTCAGGATAAATAAAGTTATTCTTATTTACTTTAAATTGTCCAAGTCACCAACACAGGATTTAAGTTACGTGTGTACTTTATTGCAGGAAAGTTGTTACATTATATATCAGCTCGCCTGAGAAGTGATCAACATGTCCAACAAGTTCTGCAAAATATCAATCTAAACAAATCGATGTTTTTGTCCCCCTGCTTCATTTCAGCTTATCAGTGTGTCTGAGCGTTCCTTTCACATCAGCTGCAAACAGATTGATGTTGAATCTTTTAGTGTGTGTGTGTGTATCTGATATTTGTAGAAAAGTTATCTATTGCAGGCTGCTGACAGAACCTCTCAGCTAGTACGTTTATCATCATTCATCAGAAAATGAAAACCCTCTCTGAGGTGACTTTGTGTCAAAAAATCATTCTTCATTTTCGCAGAGGAAGACATCTGCAGATTTAAAGTGATGACATTTCAGTCTAATACAACGAAGTGTGCTTTACCGCTTTGACTGACTGACATGTATTTCTTTTTCTGTGACGTAGAAAGAAAAGTGTGTAAAGAGGCGTTTCATCGGAGAGGCTAAAGTTCAGGTTTGCACCTTCTTGCTTCCAGGCAGCTTAAAATAAAGAAGTCAGTACTCACTCTGTCTTTTCTTGGCCAGTCATTAAACATGTCAAGCTTTTCATATCAGTGAAGAACTGATAGAAAATGTTAGTCCAGGAACTGACTTGAATTTTTGCTCTTTGGTAATTTTTTTCACTCACCATTTCAATCCAATAAAAGCTACAAACAGATGTGAACATCTGTCTCCTCATTGCCTAAACCTGGTGCTGCGGGCTTGTTTCCTGTTGTCGATACAAAGTGCATATCTGGTCTACTTATTTTCTTTGCCTAAAGTGTTCCCTCTAAGATTGAACCAAACAAAACTTATTAGATATAACAATGAGAGCACTGCTGTCAACCTGTAGTCTGGCTACACCTGCAAGCTGTGAAAATCTCAGGATTTAAGTTTCCTGGCAGATCTTACGGTGCTAGATTCCTTTTCCATGTCATTTTTTCATGTCAGACATCTGTCTGTACTTAAGTCTTCTTGTCTTCTTGTACCATACCAAGGATATCCAACTAAAACCGATTGTCCAAACACGTCAAAAATGATCTGGATGTACATGAATATCACATACGTACAGCCTGAAGAGCATTGTAAAAGTAGATTAACACCAAAGTCTTTTTTGTGCATTTGTGTGTCATCAATTGATGCAGCATACATATTACTACCCCATCCTCACATTCAATTGTGAGTCTGCAAAGCCTGGAAGCTTCATTATGTGTTACTGAACTTCTCTAAGTCCGCCTAACAATCTCTAATTATAAAATAGAGTGTGATATGAATTCTAGTGTAGTGAGCCTTACGCTGTCTTTTCATCCTCCTCAGGGCTGTGCTCATACAGTCACTCCTCTCCCTGTCCCCAGCTCAGAGGTCTCAGAGTCTGTAAGTTCTGCTTGGCTGCTCACATGGAGCTGAAGATCCAGGCAACGTGATCAGCAGACAGAAAGAGAGGGGGTTAGCTGGCAAAAAAGGCGTACAGAAAGGTGGAAAAAGAGTCTAATGAAGCCCAAATGACCAGTCAGTGAGATTGCGGTCACAACCTGTGAATCAGACATAAAGGAGACTTCCCAAAAAGCAGAGGACAAGTACAGAAAGAACCTCAGACTGAGTAGATAGAAGTGCCTTATCATCACCATTACACACTAATTTTCAGCATGAGTGTGCGGTCCAGCTTTGTACAGTTTTCTTTTATCACATGTTCTTCTTCTGTAGAGATTAACATCAAGGCTGGTTTCAAAAATCTGCATCATCACAGCCTTTTAAAATATAGAAATTACTTTGCTTCACTTAACAACCTCTAGCTGGATTTCTTGAAGGCGAAGGTTTTTTGGGGCTGTATTTTGGTAAAAAAAAAAGTCCTTCATGTCTGATTTTTAATGAGCCACTCTGGTGTTCCTCTGACAGCTTTTTAAATTGCCTTCCCCGTGGGAGTTGCTGCATAGAGATGTTTTTAGCATGACAGAACCCCCCCTGAAATCTGCTGTTGTTAATGTTCTCGCCACTGGGGGTCAGTGTGGCTCAAGTCAAAACCAGTCTCTTTAGTGGCAGACAGCAAATGTTAGCACAGGCTGAACAGAGACTGTGATAGATTCATCTTTTTCTTTTAGCTGTGTCTCTCATGTAATTAGACCAACCTTTTCATTTAGTCTGTGCCTTCAAACGTTTGTCAGAATTTGCATGGTGACATAATTTTAAGCGTCTTTTTTTTTGAGTACTTATTTAAATCCACTTTTTAGGTGTAACTGCATAATGATTGTTTAAGTCTTGACTGTGCAGAAATGGTGAACTGAAAAGCATCTATTTATTTCCTCATGTCACCCTGAAGAGGAGCATGTACCTGCTTGGGTGTGTGTGTGTGAGTGTGGGCTGTGAGACTTTGTGACAGGCCACATTTGATAGAGGGCAGAAGAAAAGGCTGCTCTGATAGCTCTGATGCGGGAGGATGACGAGGGAGCCAGGTGGAAGGAGTAATGACACCCCAGGAGGGGCCACTCAGGCTGTTAAGAGGAGGGAGGGATGTGAGGAGAGGACAGGGAGTGGTGTGTGTCTGAGGAGTGAAGCAGAGGCTATCACACTGTACACACTCACGCACATGCACACGTAAACGCACAGCTGGATAGGACTTAATGAATACAGAGCTCTAATAGACACACATATCCAGATCCCTCAGAGGCCTGAGGACTCAGACAGCTATCTGACTCACACACTTTAAAAAGAAACACACCACATGCTCTTTGTGGAGTGCCCACGCAGTAGTGCACTGAGACACACTTAAGCATGGGCACACAAATAAGGGTCAGGCACAGACACTTCCCTGCTGTCACTGTTCATTTCTGCTCATGCTTTCACTTAGTCAGCAAACAAACATGCATGTACTGAGAAACTGACACATGTTTATAAAGATGCTGGATTTGGCTGAGCTGAAGAAATGATGGATCTGTTTCTGCTTGTGGTTAGCCATGCATGATTCCACCGCACATATGGAGTGACACAGAGGGAGAGGAGGGGAGGTAAAGGCAGGAAGAAGAGGGGATGTGTGAGAGGAAAGGTTTGAGATGTGCAGATTTTGGGGTAGAGTAAAATAAAAGGCAGAGCACCTTCAGAATAAGTAATTAGTGTTAAAAAAAAATCTGTCCAGGTTAAACAGCAAAATAAACAGGAGCAGCTAAAAGCAGCACAAAAAGGAAAGGAGATAAAGTCGGCATGAGAAAGGACAGAAGAAACAAAGGATGAAAGACAGCCACTGGGGTGAGGGAAAGATATAGAGGGCTGTGTTTTTGGCTCTGCTGTTTGTTCAGGCTAAATGTGGAGGACCTGTTGGGATGCAAAGACAAAAGAGAGAGAATAAGAGAGAGAGAATGAAGGAGGATGGGAGAAGGTCAAACAGACTAAGCAGCAGACTCAGGCTCATTACAAACATTATGCCAGAAAATCCATAAAAATAACCCATAAATGTATCATGTGGCGTTTGTCAGCAGGTCTCTGTAGGTATATGTTCATTTAAGCCTCATTTCTATAACATCATGAGTGTATTATGTTTGATGTCATTTAGCGGCTTTCACAAACATGGTGTCCCTTTCATACTATTGAAACATGATTGAATTGAAAGACACAGTGAGCGCCGAGACTGTATGGGCAATATTGAGAGCATATCAGATTAAAGCCAAGGACAAAGCCATGTAATGCAATGCAAATGGAGGGAGGCAGAAAGAAAGAGGGCAGAGATGCAAACATAGACAAAAGGAAGAGAAGGATAGATAAAGGATGGCACATAGACCTGCAGGTTTTGAATATGAAGTTGAAGCTCTGTCAGGTGGTGGAGGGAAAAAAAAAAAACAAAGGGTGTGAGTTATTGAGTTTGGAGTCACGGATTGAGTTAAGGCATGATAGTGAGACTGGGATGCTGCAGAGACGAGGATATGAGGTGGCTGAGATGGGCAGCAGAAAAAAAGATGGTTGAGGAAGAGTGAAAAAAATAGCTATTAGCTTTTAAAGCAAAACAGAGGGGTCATGCTCACCTTAACACAATTTATGAAGACAGACAGAGAGGGAGGAGATAGATTCATACAGATAGACATCATGCAGTCATACAGGGAGAACAGAGTCCATTTGTCATGGCTAAGATCAATAGCTACAGCATTTGTGCTGATATTTATTCAGAATGTTTCAATAACATGTTCCATTAATGTGCAGGATGATTATATTTGATTACTCTCTCAGTGAAATAGAATATCTTTGGAGTACAGCAGTTCTGACATTGTCTGACTTGATCAATTCAACTGGAAGACACATAAATGAGTTCAGAGGCTCCCTAACTCTGAGATCATCTCAGATATGATCATAGAAACACAGCAGCGCTGGCCATTAGCTGTTACATGTAAAATTAAGTTAGAGATTTATAACAGGCTCTTAAAACTCTGCACTCCTGAGCCACAGTATCTGAGCATGTCCAACACAAACTGTTTGTTCAACTTTTGTGAAAAAGAGTTTATTCTTTGTATGAATTTAGGGATTAAGTGATTAAGTGTCCCTCTAAGGGGTATGACAATTCTTAAGAGGGAAAAAATGAATCAAGGAGTATCAAATGCTTGAAATGTCTCCTAAGTTTGTCTGTTGTGAAGACTCGGAACATCTTTCAGTTTCAGAAATACCACTGTCCTGTCACTGCAGTTATTTTATTGACATGATTGTCTGCGATAACACCGCCCAGAGTACGAATCAGTTTGGTCTTGTGTACTTGTTTGATTGCCATATTATTCTTGTAGATATTCAGGTTGAGAGTGCATTAAGATCAAGCCAGATGCAACCTCTGGTCTTGAGAAATGAAGCTGATGTGAGAGTGCAAAAAACTGTGGTTCCCCAGTGCCTGCTTGAAGCTGGCTGCAGAAGCACCAAAAACCACATACACACGAATCCAAACAAGACAATTTTCAGAGAAAATAAACACGTTTACAGCCTGGTTCAGAAAATGGTCTGAATAGCTTGGGGCTCCCATGGCACCCACTGTATTGGAAGTGAATGTATTTGCAACACGTCTGTTTTGAAGTTATTAGGGTTATAAAGTTGGCGAATCAGAGGCGCAGCTGACTGGACTATTAGGTTGGCACGCTGTAGCTATTAGCAAGGAGGTTAAAGGCCAACCTCATCCACATGCACTGCAGTTGCAGCTTTCTCTAATACAGGATGGAAGTCGTTTGTAAAATGATGAACATTTATGATGCTTCCTTGAGGATCTCCACAGTTCACATTTCCAACCTCTAGACAATTCCCATTGAGAGGAATGGCTAGTTTTCTGTTAGATATCTGTGTTAGTGCAGATTGATCAAATCCACAGCAGTCTAGTTCTTTCGGGCATATCTCATGATCAGTGATATCAAATACAGCTGTAAATTCAAGATGGACTTACTACTTGGTATGAAAAAAGAGGACAATATGGACTGAATAATAAACAGAAGAAGAAACAACCAGGCTGTGAGGGAGCGGGCAGTTCAAATAAAATAATGTTGAGCTGTCATGGCACTCTTAATTGCACTCCTTGCCGCGTTGTATTCCCCACTTAATAAGATTTCCTGCTAAACTTCCTCAACTAAACTGCCTCCTTTTCTATTGCCTTCTATCCGCTTCATTTATAGCCGGCTGTCTGTACACTCTCTTTCTGTCACATACTTGTATATGGAAGAGGGCAGCATTCATTCAGTCAATGAAAACTGAGGTGGATAAGGCCTTCACTGTCACTGAGGTGGCAGCTCATTTTGTGCAGAAGATAGAAAGTTAAACTCAATTTCATATTTAAAGATGTTTCATCCACACCTGCCTTAGTGTCTGTCTGATGATCTGTCCTTCTATTGGAGGGGAGAGGAGAGGAGAGGAAGGGAGGAAAAGAAAAAAAATAAGAGATTTAATATATCGCTAATGACTAAAGGGCAGAAAGGGTAAAACCAAAGGTAAGGCACGGTGCAGAGGTCGATGTAGTCTGAATTTGAACATTTACATTCACCCCATGTGAGAATATTGCTGTAGATTAAACAAAGAAGAAAAACCCATGAGAAGAGAAAAATAATGAAAAAAGAAAAAAAAGTATAAATCAGCCGAATAGATTGAGTGACAGAAATAGCTAAAAGCTGTTGGGATGAAAGATGGAAACAGCGTGATGGTGGAGGGAGGGTGATGGGGTGAAAGATATAAAAGCAGTGGCAATGGGAATATAATGAGAAAACGGGTAAGAGAGGAATAGAAGAGGAGAAGAGAGGCAGGGGTGAGAGAGCGAGAGAGAGAGAGAGAGAGCAAGAGGAGCTGAAACAACGACAGAGACAAACAGAAAGTGAGAGAGACACAGAGTGTGAGAGCATGTCCCTGGGGAGGAGGGAGGTGATTTGGGCCTGGCAGTGATTGGGTTTGGACTGCTCCCACCGAGCCTCAGTGACTCACCCGTCTCCCACACACAGACGCACACTATGATGTATGTGGACCGAGTGTTTGTGTGTGAGGGTCTGGTAGAGAGAGAGAAAGAGAGAGAGAGAGTGGGTAACAAAGTTAGTTCTTTACTGTCAGAGTCCTGCGGGGCTAAGCGTGTGTGTGAGAGTGTGTGTGTTTTCCTGTGTGTGTGAAGCCGTCATGTTGCGTGCAGCCTATTGGGAGCTGCCACTCTTAATAACAGATAATAACCCACTGTCTATCTCTGTCTCCTGATGCCCAGTGTCCCTGCTGATTCACTGCCTGCTGTATAAACACACAAAAAGAGTTTAAAATGAAAATCTCATTCTAAGGTGGTAAAAATGCTCCATTAACCAAAGCAGCTTATTTATATCTATAACAGCATTTCGTATAATACACAAATGACCAGCACCTCAGCTGTTATTAGCAACAGACACGCTCCAAATTTATCTATTTTGTTGATCTCTGAGGACACATTTAAGTTTTTCATTACTACAGCTCTTTCCTGAGAGGCACCTCCATCGGATTTAAGCTTATTAAAGAAGCAGAAAACAAGGCGAGCTAACCAAATGATGACGCACAGCAGAGCCCATCATGCTGCCCATGTACCTATATTAGCCCGACCCTCCATTTTTAAATATACTTTTGCATGGATAACCCAGATTTTCTATCACTCATCTACTTGTAGGGGTAGCAAGGGATTACATCCAATCTGGTCTGGTCTGAACGCTCATTCACTTGTTAGTCAATGCTTACTCTTCTCTGCTCTTTATGTAGGTTTACTTTTAAATTAAAAGCCAATAGCATAGCTAAAGCATATGATTACCAATTCCATTCTCACATCATAGAGACTTATACAAGTTTCCCTTCCAATCATGTCTTCTTCTCTTTGTCATCATATAGATATTTTAAAATACTAACGGAGGTCTTTTGGACTGAAATCTGGGGGGACAGTGGGGAACAAGGCACTACACCATGCTGAAAATACATAAATATCTTGGATTAGCTGCCAGTCAAATAAGCCTGCACGATATTGGAAAAAACTAACATTGCATTTTTTTTCAACACTACAATATATATTGGGATATTTAAAAAATAGAGGAATTTTCACCAGATGACCTAAATAGCATTTTATGCTGAACTGCTGAAATCTTGAGGACAGTTAACCTGCACTGATCTTACCTCTTTTGTGAATGTTAGTAGAATGGTTCTGTCTGTCTTAGAGATCTTTTTAGCTTGCTTTTATTGTGCTGGGACTTTATTGTGGCAACAGATAATAGGCACTGCCGACACAGAACAGGTGTTTGGTGACGCCATCCTTTTTGTAACCGAAATAATTACAGATAAGTGAAGTAGCTTTTCTTTTTGACAACATGTATTCATCTTTGGTGGTTTTCTCTTGTTCGTTTCTCATTTTGCAATCGTTGATGTTGTCCCCGGTGTTGTGCCGAGAAACACATGCCCGCCGAGGATTGCATGCAACTCACAGAAACACTCACTGCTTAAAGCAGAGTGGTCCATGGAAATGTGCAATTTAAAACCCATACATTTTCATGTGCAAGCCATGTGCAGGGGCGCGGTTTCCTCCTCTCTGATTTTGATTGACAGCTGGCAGTGTAGTCTGATCGGCAACTGAGTAAAGAACGAATGTGATTGGTGGATAGCTGCACAGCACATGCAGAATCACATGCGGTGTATCTCAGTCAGCTACCCTTGAAATGAGATGAGTTCATTCACCCCCGACATGGCAGGCTCTGCAATGTCACTATCGCGCACAGGTACATCGCGATGACGATGCTCAAACGATACATCGTGCAGCTCTACAGTCAAAGGCTTTATTCCCACAGGGGCCATCCTATTGTGATTTCATGCTCAGAGTTGGAACACACCTCTACCCAGAAACTTTGCTTTGCCATCAGAAAGCCCATTTGGTTTTGCACTATTTGATGTATGTCTCACTAATATATGGTGAATTTTGAAATTTTTGCACAATAAATTTTTTTCCCAAATTCAGATGAAATCTCCAGCAACTGGATTGAGGCTAATATCGGTAATTCACTTGTACAGCTTTGTGTGCATCCTATTGTTGGCTGGTCAAAGTGATGTAAAAATAGACACCAACATGAACAGTGGTAGTACCAAAGCTGTCCTTTATAAAATAATCATCTTGCTTGTACAAATGTTCATCCTCTCTTATCTGTGATGTTAGCTGTGGTCTCATGTTTGCTTATGAGCTTCCAAAAGTGTTACACTAAAATATGACCAGATCTCTGTCCTGCCTCATCTGTGTGTGTGGCAGCTTATCAATCACTGAGCTGTGAAATGACCACAACTTGTCATACAATTACACATCAAACCACCTTGAAAACCATAATAATACATGAAAACAATAAAGGGTTGGCCATCTTGAGCTTGACCTCACAAGAAGACGGCTGCTATGGGAATATGGTTCATTATAGAGCTGACACATCAAGACAACCATTCAAGCACACATTCATACCCTATAGTGGTGTGAAGTGACAAACTAACCACAGGTTGTGTTATATTTGACAGATTTTAATGTAAAAATGCTACAGTTTCATGCAGCAGACACTTTTGACAAAGTGACACATATCTGAGAGTAAGATTAACATTAGCAACGAGCAAGACAAAAAAGAACAACATAGAGGCATGCCACAAACTGCTGCAAGTCCAATCGGATCCAGGTGCTGTCAGGCAGAGCACCGAGGCAGTGAACGAGGTATATTAGAGCCAATTTGTTTTTAACTATCACCATCAACATCAACAGCTTCACCAGCATCATCACTATCATGAGACTCCTGATAGACTTCTGCAACAGACTAAACACCATCATCATAATCATTAATGTCATTGTCGTCATGACTAGCATTATAATCATGAAGTCTGGAGGTGGGCATGAAGGGCTGGGTAAGTCACTTTCAAAGAGTGAAAGGGACTCTGCAGGTCCAGCGGTGCTGGGTAAATCACTCCACCACTGGGGGGAATGACTCAGGGCCCTGTTGTGATGGATGTACCAAGCACTTTTCATGGCACAGTGTAGTGAGCAGGAGGGAGTGTAGACCTGAATGAGGCAGTCCAAGCAGGGGGTCGCCACTGTTTATGCTGATTTTCAGGGTCTCAAACAGGGTTTGGTTAGTCGACTGCTTTATTTCTTTACTAGATGGGGTGGAAATGCGGCGTCCATCCTTACATACAGACATTAATAAAAATTTTAAGCTATAGGTCTCATACAAACATTTTAATGTCATTTTTAATTCATAAAGTTGTTTTAAAATAAGATAACTACCTGACTGAATAACAGATAGACATTGTATGTGAATAGTTCTCTTTGTGGTAAATGTGTGACTCTCCACGTGTGTATGTACTTGTCCTTGCCAGTGTCTGATTTAACGGTAAATTACTGCTTCTTGGAACAAAGCCCTGCATCATTATCTACACTCACATTTTGGGGGACGTGAAATTTTATATCGAGCGAGCATTTCACATGGGTGGGAAGGAGAGCTGGAAGACAGGATAATTTGATTAAAAGATAATGAGGATATAACATAATTGAGAGCAGATAATTATCCTCTTTTTATTTTGTTTCACGTTTCAAAGCCAACGGAAAGCATTTTTTATCTCCTGAAGAGAGGCTTCAGATAAGAGATGAGATGTTATTGAAGGAAAGAATGATGAAAATAACAGGTTTTCAAGGCGAGTCCACCAAAAATCACCTTTCTTGGCTCTTCTGATTGCATGAAAGCTGTGTGGATGTGCGTGATGCGAATAGAGAGTGAGAAGATGGCATTGTTGATAACTGCCTTCAGGTGCTTGTAGTCTCATGGCAATAGTCTGTCTGTCTGTTTGGGCTATCTATTACAGCAGCAAACAGACAGAAACCATGAGAAAACTGCTATTAATGTTTTTAAATGTGTTTCTGTTTACTCTAGGGCCTACGTCTCCACGATAAGTTGTCTTTTATCTGAGTGATAGTGTTATGCGGATGCCTCTGCAGCCATGTTAACTGCCAGAGAGACGCTCATTTCTCAGGGCACTTATCAACTGCATGAGGTTGTATCAAATGGTTTAAATGTCACTCTGGTTCAGGAAAAGATTGTTTCTATGGTAACAGGTTGTCCCTGCATGTGTTTGCTTCAGAAGCATATTAATTTCGCTATTAGTCTTGGAAAGACGCACAATAATGTTGGATCATGTAAGCGAATCAATGTTTAACTGTATGCAACCTTTTTATTTGGAATTTAAACGTGTCGCTTCAGGAGATTTCTTACTGTCTTTACATTCAGAGAAGTCAAAGGTCAGGAGTAGTCTTTGTGTTGCAAGGCTGTTATTTTGCCTCCGTGCACCTGCAGATACATCAATACTTGTCATTTTCAAGAACTGAGTGTTTACACACCTGCAATTACATGTATGTAGGTCACACAAGTATGGTATGCAGGTATTGATCTAAAGGGAAAGAAAAAAACAATCTGGTATTTCTGATGTGTATTACTTTTATAAAGAATATGAGGCAAAAACCACCCATCTTGTACAGATGTTGCATCATGGAAGCATAGGGAAAACTAAAAAGCTGAGGGCAACAGACCGATTTAAGATACAACGCAAACACTAACAAGCACCTAATCTACATGTCACTGTGGTGCATTAATACGTTTAACCAGCCCTGAATCTCTCTGGTGGTCTTGTTGGTGTTGCACACTCTGTTCAGGAAGTTTTGAGGACATTGAGTCTGTAGGAAAAACTGGATCAGCAGTGGTTGAGTCTTGTTGAGTGTTGAATGTTGAGTGTACTGATTTGTAGTAATGAACTGTCTCAACAGCAGGAGCAGACAGCTACAGTAGCCCCAGAGGGGAAAGCATGTATCCGTCAGTCACTACCCAAACTGCTGAGACAGGGCAAAACTTTTTTTTTCTGGCCAGACAGGTGTTTTAACCCTAGTTTATTCTGAATAAGTAATAACATATAAAAAAAGAGTCGACAGGGGAAGCTGGGAGATTTATACATATTGGACTTAAGAGTGCAAACAAGGGAGTGTTTCCTGGAGCCAATAAGTAACTCCCAAAGCAGAAAACCAATGTTGTTAAATTTGGGGCCAATCATCTGTGCAAAAAAATACTGCTGACATCCTTGTGCTTTATTACCTGAGCTCTGTTTATAAAACTAATTAGTAAAGTAGAGAGAGATTAAGCTTCTTTAACTTTGGCAAAAAGTTCATATAAGACACATTACTTATGATAAAAAAGCACTGATTGAGGAAAAAAAAACATTTGTGTGACCTTTAAGGTAATGAGAGTTGAGTCCTCTGTGGATATGAATCAGAGTCTGGTAGTTACTGCTCACACAGGGAACAGTGTAAAATTCAGCAATCGGCTGTGGGCTGTTAAGAGCTTTTTCACTGAAATGATCAACTTGCAGGTATGAAGGGATCTTGGCAAAAAGACATCTGTCACACTGGCAGGTGAGATCGTCAATACGAATCAATGAAAATGAAAATGTCTGTTCCAATGTCAGCAAATCTGTAAAGCTGAAAGCAAGACAATATCTAATCAAAAGTTTAACTACATGTTTTTACAGAGTATTTGTTCCATTTGGCAACAGCTCAGAGACACACAGGCAGCTGCAGACATACTGCTAAAGGCCATTGTAATAAAGGCAGTCATTTAGGAGAAGTTCTAAGCAGCGACATCGGAAAAGGTTGTTCTGTTCTAAAAATAATGCAGGAAGAGGCAGTAATGTTGGCTTTTACTATCTCAGTAATTACAAGGCTTCACCAGAATTTCTACCTGGTGGAAGCGCCTGGAGTTTGTCCTTTTCCTTGAAAGCGACACATTTCTCTTCCTTTACCTTTAAAGAAATGATTTTTTCAAGGAAATATGCAGCTTAAAGGTAAAGCACAGTCTTTTAGATGTTTTGCAGCCGAGTCAGAAAGAGCGTACAGAGATCTTGAAGGTTAAAGAGTGTGTTTAGATTTCCCACTGAAAGGTTAGAGCTGCAGAGTGTTTTCATGTGTGAGAGAGAGGAGGGGAGAATCCACGCCTGTGTCTTTGTGTCAGTCTTTTCATACACATGAAGGTGTGTTTTTTCTCTGCCTTCACCTCGCTCTCTGCTTTCCAAAAAAGAAAAAACCTTTTTCTTTGAAAGAACTAACATCGGGACACGTCTTCAGCCTAAAAAACCAGGAGCTCACAAATCTTCTCTCCCAGCAGCCCCCCCCAATCACCTTCAGCCCTCCAGCAATCCTCTCTTCCCACCAAGCCCCCCCACCATCATCTCCAGCTCCAGCATGCTTGCTTCTCATGGAATATTTCATGACAGACATGCACCTGAATGTGAATGTTCACAGAGTGTCCACGCTCAGTAACAGAGTATGATCCTTCAGGGTGATACGAAGCAGATATGAAGGACCTCAGAACTAAAGGGCGCTAATATTTTTCAAAAAGACCTTATTAGTTCTGCTTGATCTATTATAAATGTCAGGTTGGAAAACAGAGCTTAAGAGCTTTAATTATGTCAACCAAAACAGCTCTCTATTGTGTCTAAATGACCAATATCTAAAACTTAACAATAAAGACGGTCAACCTGGCCCTCGAGAAATTCCAAAAATGCTAAACCTGGGATGAAATATTTTCCCATTCATCTTTCCTGATACAGCCTTAACACCCCAAGAAACCATATTTATATTTCTTCCAAATCAGTGAGAAACAAACCGTAATTGTTTTTGGATGACACTTAATGAGCTCATTTGTATGAACCCAATCATCCCCAAAACGCTGAAGCTTGAGTCATTTTCTGCTTTTGTGATTTTATAGATGTAAAACATGGTTTTGTCTGTGTTTGTACTTAGAGATTTGTGTGATAATGAGTGAATGCATTTGAAAAGAGAAATAAAAGGGTGATGAGCTCTAACTGGATATGACCTATGAGGTATTTCATCAGTGCTGCCTCATTAACTTTGCAAGATGACAGAGCAGTTTGTGTGTATTCAATGTTATTCACTGTTTACTTACAGCTACTTCTTCTCTCTTACAGGGTGGAGGAGAGTTTTAAAACTCTCTTCTGGTCCATCTTCGGGCTGTCTGAAGTGATCTCAGTGGTGCTCAAGTACGACCATAAGTTCATAGAGAACATTGGCTACGTGCTGTATGGAGTTTACAACGTCACCATGGTGGTCGTGCTTCTCAACATGCTCATCGCCATGATCAACAGCTCATACCAGGAGATTGAGGTACAGAAATGAGACAGGAGTGGTTAAACAATACAAAAAGAGCTGTAAAAGATCATTCCAGTGGTTAAAAAAAAGAAGAGAAAGAACACTAAGTAAAAGCTGAACCTTTTAAAAAGGTTTTTGCTACATTAAAAAGTAAAGACAGAGAGACCACAAGTTAAGTTTCTGGTAGACAACGAAGCATTTTCATTGGTTTGGTTCTCAAAGACAGGAGAATGTCATTCTTTGGTTTGTTTTTCATATCTGATTCTGTCTCTGTCTCCGTGTGTCTCTGCAGGAGGACGCTGATGTGGAGTGGAAGTTCGCCAGAGCAAAGCTGTGGCTCTCATACTTTGACGAGGGACGCACCCTTCCTGCCCCCTTCAACCTGGTCCCCAGTCCGAAGTCTTTTTACTATCTGGTCCTTCGCATCAAGTCGTGCCTGATTCGTCTCTGCAAGGCCAACAGTCGTCGTCATAACAACGAGCTGGAGCTGGGCATGCTCAACTCACAGGCCAAGGTCAGTGACAGGAATTCGTTGATCCCAACTCTCATGAGAAATAGCGAACACAAATAAAAGGATAGGATCTTATTTTTTAGTTCATAGAGTTCTATGTATGTGACAGAAGACAGCGTATTTGCTGATGTTGTTTTTTTGACACTGTGATGGAAGCTAAATCAATTATTTCAAAGCCAGCAGCCAAAATGTAAAGTGCTTTGTATCAATTATTTCCACATTTTGCAGGAACGATGTTGGGAGCCAATCATTATGGGCTAATTACTGACAACATGTGTCTTGTTTTTCTCGCCTGCCTTTCAGCCTCTCATTGTCAGAAATAGGAAAAAAATATCATGACATGACAGTTTATTCAGTACATTACAGCAATTTCTTATTCGGTTCATTTTATTTTTACTCTTTATGCTTTTGTGAAATAATGTGCTTTTTTATAGGTTTATTTTTTCTCCAGAGGCGGCCATGCTTATCACGTCTGCAGCTGTCATGAAGATTTTCTTTTGGTTGTCCCTCATGAGGAAACAGTTTTCGTTTGTTTGTTTGCTTGCTTGTTTTCAATGTGGCTCCACATAAAGGATTGTTAGAACTGGGTTTCTGGGCAATGGGAAAGCTCACTAATGTCCCCACATGAATTAAATATTGGAAATATCACTGGAAATGACTTGATCATTGTTCACTGTGCGCTCAGGCCAAGAGACATAGATCAAAAGGGAAAGTGCTGTCTGATGGCTAGCGTTCACATGGACTAAGCCCACTGTGGTACATGGCTTGTCTTGTCCGGTTACTCCCACTGGCTTCTCAAACCAGGGGGCTGACTGCAGTCTGCAGAAGATGAGACACTGACAACTAATAAGAACCTCATGTAACCCCAATTCATGACACGTGGACTCCTTTAAGGCTCCAGAGGGAAGATGAGATTCCAACCACAGGCTGAGATGCTACATTTGCCTCGTTCATTTCCACACAATCTCCCTCTTAAGGATTGTCCATCCAAATAAAATCATCGTAATGAAAAGAACGCCTTGAGTGAGACAAATAGCACAGGCCATTTCACACAGAATCTATCCCGGTACTGATGTTTTCTACAGGCTTTTCCTCTGTCTGATTCCTCGGCTCAGAGGGCTCACCTCAGTGCCTCAGCTGAGCTATTAGTCAGGTCGCCAGATCTGCCTGCGTCTGCTCAAATGGCTGGCTAGGTTTTGGATGGGGACAAGATGGGTTACAGCCTGCTGCCCCTGTGAGCCGCCTGAGTTCTGTACAGCTCTGACAGTTTAACTGCAAAGCCAAGCAGGTGCAGCGAAAGATCAATACACAAGCTTACACTCGTCTACAGTTCAGCTCTGAGAATGTCAAGCAAGATTTGGAGAAGACAGCGTGGTCTTTCTGGATCTGTAATTTCCTCATTTCTGCCTCTTTGCTCAGCTTTTTTTTTTTTTCATGAGAAACATTCCCTATTTGAGGTGCACTGCGCTAAAGCTAATTATGTTAGGTTGAGCAGTAAATGTTCGAAATATGTTTAAAAAATAAACAGGGCTGACTTACCCTCTAGTCATCCATCTCTTGTTGAATATTTGTATGTAGGATTAATGAAGGAGTACTGTATTAAGGTGTATGTGGGTGTCTGTGTATGTCTACATACACTCAGTAATTAAGGTTCCTGCCCCTTGGTAAATATAGCTTTCATATATTCACAGTAATGAGGACAATTAATTACATGCCAGGAGCAAACAAATTGAAAATCAGTAATGAAAGGTGTGTTGCAGATTATTGATCAAGAAAAAGTCACTGGGTACAAAACAAACACCTCTGCAAGAAGGAAAAAAGAAACGTGTCTCTCACATTCACATCAGGCTGAAACAGAAGTCACCATATAGGTGTTAGCTTAAAGGGATATTACGTCGTAAAATTAAGTTAGGGTTAAACACACCGTAACACTGAATTAGACACCCTGTCAAGAGATCCACTGTACTACAAAATAGGACTGACAAATACCAAGAAACTTCAGGCTAACTCAGGGTCTGTATTTCCTTTAAGTTGGTTTGCCTCTTACCAGGGAATACTGCAAGTTTCCTTACGCTGCCAAGAAGGTTCATATGAAATTTCATGGAGTGGAGCCTTGTTTCTCCTGATTTTAGGCCGACTGTGGTTTATTAGCTGAGGGTTAAAGGGATATTCTGGCGTAAAATTAAGTTAGGGTCAAACACACCGAAACACAGAGTTAGACACTCCCTCTAGAGATGAATGTCGGTGACCACTACTTCTACAAACAAGCGGCTGCTGGAAGAGAGATGGTGAGTTGTGTTTAGTCTCTTTGCTAAAGAAATTAGGCAAAGCTAAAAAGATGTTTGGTGGCTAGTGCTGTGGCTGGGACCCTGTATGTACTATTGATGAAGTTAGGTGCTGTTCTGAGCATTATTTGTGGCTATAGAGTGGTGTTTTGGTTGAGTGCGTGGCTCTGTGTATTGCTATCTGCGGTCGTTAATAAAGTTAGTATAACTAGAGAAGCAAGCAGTCACCAATATTCATCTCTTGACTGGGTGTCTAACTCAGTGTTTCGGTGTGTTTGACCCTAACTTAATTTTACGCCGGAATATCCCTTTAAATAAGTGAGTGAGTGAATAAACTAAACTCTTAAGTCATGTTATCTTGAAGACTTAAAAACAGGCAACTGGACTGTGTAGAGTTAAGAAGACGTTTCGCCTCTTATCCAAGAAGCTTCTTCAGTTCTAAAAGTGCTAGTGTCAGGAGCAGATATTTATCTTACTGGAGAAGGGGGACAGTTAACGACTGGGAGGAGTTGAAAAGAATGGGTCGTAGAAACCCATCTCTCGGTGTGTCCCCCCCAAGTCGTTATCCTGAAAGGGTCGTTAGCGACTCCTATCATGTGACCACATGACTCATGCCACCTGAGTCATGTGGTTCCAGGTGTGAATGTTTGTGGAGCTTTCTGGGGAGAGAGCTGAGAACTGCATTGTAAGTGCCAGAGAGATTGTGCCTGAGTCCACCCCCTCTGTTCAGAGAAGGTTTCTCCAGCCTGGTAAAGATGGCTTCTTTAACTCCTCTTTCAAACCATCTGTCTTCTCGAGCCAACACCTGTACATCGCTGTCCTCAAAAGAGTGACCTGTATCCTTCAAGTGAAGGTGGACAGCTGAGTCCTGACCTGAGGAAGTGGCTCTCCTGTGTTGAGCCATGCGCTTGTGAAGCGGTTGTTTAGTTTCCCCAATGTACAGGTCTGAGCATTCCTCGCTGCACTGGACAGCATATACCACATTACTCTGTTTATGTCTCGGTGTTTTGTCCTTGGGATGGACTAGCCTCTGCCTTAGTGTGTTACCAGGCTTGAAATGAACAGGAATGTGGTGTTTGCCAAAGATCCTCTTGAGTTTCTCAGACAGGCCTGCAACGTAAGGGATTACAGTGCTCTTGCGTCTCTCCTCCCTTTCCTGTTCAGTGTTATTTCTCTTTCTGTTCTTCACAAAGGCCCACTTAGGGTATCCACAGGTTGTCAGGGCATTTTTGACGTGCTTTTGTTCCTTTTCCTTACCTTCTTTCTTCGTGGGAATGTTCTCGGCCCGGTGGTTGAGTGTTCTGATGACACCCAGTTTGTGCTGTAGAGGATGGTGGGAATCAAAAAGTAGATATTGATCCGTGTGTGTTGGTTTCCTGTACACTTCAACGTTGAGCCACCCATCTGCCTCCAAGTGTACAGCACAGTCCAAAAAGGCCAACACTTTGTCCTTGACATCTTCACGGGTGAACTTGATGTTGCTGTCCACTGTGTTGATATGGTCAGTGAAGGCCTCTACTTCATGTGTTTTGATCTTAACCCAGGTGTCATCCACATATCTGAACCAGTGGCTAGGAGCAGCTCCCTTGAAAGAGGTTAGGGCCTTCCTCTCTACCTCTTCCATGTACAGGTTTGCCACTATAGGAGAAACCGGGGAGCCCATCGCGCATCCGTGTTTCTGTCTGTAATGGCGCTCTCTGAACTGGAAGTAGGTGGTGCTGAGGCAGATGTCCAATAAGGAGCAGATGTGGTCCGGAGTTAAGTTGGTTCTGACTTCCAGTGTGCTGTCCTGTGAGAGACGTTGTCTTACTGCTTGGACTGCCTCTGTTGTTGGAATACTTGTGAAAAGTGATGTGACATCATAGGAAACCATGGTTTCATCTGAGTCCAGCCTGATGTCCTTGATTTTCTCAGCAAAGTCCTGTGAGTTTCTGACGTGGTGAGGGGTGTGGCCGACAAGAGGAGCTAGGATGGTGGCCAAATGTTTTGCCACTTTGTATGTGACTGAGTTAATGCTGCTGATGATAGGTCTAAGGGGCGCCCCTTCCTTGTGTATCTTTGGTAATCCATAAATGCACGGGACAGCTTCCCCTGGGTACAGTCGGTAATAGAGTGGGCGGTCGATAACTCCATCCTTTTCGAGCTGTTGAAGTGCACTGATAACTTTCTTTTTGTAGCTGTTGGTGGGATCCCGTTTAAGAGTTTCATAGGTGGCAGTGTCACTGAGAAGGCTTGTTACCTTGTCATGGTAATCCCTGGTGTTGAGTACCACAGTGCATCTCCCCTTATCTGCAGGCAGGATGGTGATGTTTTCATCTTTTTGCAGTGATGCCAAGGCTCTTCTTTCCTGCATGGTCAAGTTGGAAGGAGGTGTTTTGGCATTTGAGAGAGCAGCTGTTACCTTCAGCCTAAGTTGTTCTGCCTCCGTGACCGCCAGAAGAGCCTTGGCATCACTGCAAAAAGATGAAAACATCACCATCCTGCCTGCATTTATGGATTACCAAAGATACACAAGGAAGGGGCGCCCCTTAGACCTATCATCAGCAGCATTAACTCAGTCACATACAAAGTGGCAAAACATTTGGCCACCATCCTAGCTCCTCTTGTCGGCCACACCCCTCACCACGTCAGAAACTCACAGGACTTTGCTGAGAAAATCAAGGACATCAGGCTGGACTCAGATGAAACCATGGTTTCCTATGATGTCACATCACTTTTCACAAGTATTCCAACAACAGAGGCAGTCCAAGCAGTAAGACAACGCCTCTCACAGGACAGCACACTGGAAGTCAGAACCAACTTAACTCCGGACCACATCTGCTCCTTATTGGACATCTGCCTCAGCACCACCTACTTCCAGTTCAGAGAGCGCCATTACAGACAGAAACACGGATGCGCGATGGGCTCCCCGGTTTCTCCTATAGTGGCAAACCTGTACATGGAAGAGGTAGAGAGGAAGGCCCTAACCTCTTTCAAGGGAGCTGCTCCTAGCCACTGGTTCAGATATGTGGATGACACCTGGGTTAAGATCAAAACACATGAAGTAGAGGCCTTCACTGACCATATCAACACAGTGGACAGCAACATCAAGTTCACCCGTGAAGATGTCAAGGACAAAGTGTTGGCCTTTTTGGACTGTGCTGTACACTTGGAGGCAGATGGGTGGCTCAACGTTGAAGTGTACAGGAAACCAACACACACGGATCAATATCTACTTTTTGATTCCCACCATCCTCTACAGCACAAACTGGGTGTCATCAGAACACTCAACCACCGGGCCGAGAACATTCCCACGAAGAAAGAAGGTAAGGAAAAGGAACAAAAGCACGTCAAAAATGCCCTTACAACCTGTGGATACCCTAAGTGGGCCTTTGTGAAGAACAGAAAGAGAAATAACACTGAACAGGAAAGGGAGGAGAGACGCAAGAGCACTGTAATCCCTTACGTTGCAGGCCTGTCTGAGAAACTCAAGAGGATCTTTGGCAAACACCACATTCCTGTTCATTTCAAGCCTGGTAACACACTAAGGCAGAGGCTAGTCCATCCCAAGGACAAAACACCGAGACATAAACAGAGTAATGTGGTATATGCTGTCCAGTGCAGCGAGGAATGCTCAGACCTGTACATTGGGGAAACTAAACAACCGCTTCACAAGCGCATGGCTCAACACAGGAGAGCCACTTCCTCAGGTCAGGACTCAGCTGTCCACCTTCACTTGAAGGATACAGGTCACTCTTTTGAGGACAGCGATGTACAGGTGTTGGCTCGAGAAGACAGATGGTTTGAAAGAGGAGTTAAAGAAGCCATCTTTACCAGGCTGGAGAAACCTTCTCTGAACAGAGGGGGTGGACTCAGGCACAATCTCTCTGGCACTTACAATGCAGTTCTCAGCTCTCTCCCCAGAAAGCTCCACAAACATTCACACCTGGAACCACATGACTCAGGTGGCATGAGTCATGTGGTCACATGATAGGAGTCGCTAACGACCCTTTCAGGATAACGACTTGGGGGGGACACACCGAGAGATGGGTTTCTACGACCCATTCTTTTCAACTCCTCCCAGTCGTTAACTGTCCCCCTTCTCCAGTAAGATAAATATCTGCTCCTGACACTAGCACTTTTAGAACTGAAGAAGCTTCTTGGATAAGAGGCGAAACGTCTTCTTAACTCTACACAGTCCAGTTGCCTGTTTTTAAGTCTTCAAGATAACCATGACCTGGATGAATGAGAATCTACATGGTCTTAAGTCATGTTGATTCATATTTTTTGTGTAAGGCTGTAAGTTATTAAGAGTGTCATTAATGAACTTTTTCATTGTTTCAGTTGTAATATCCTGTGTTTATATAAAGAGTCTGTTCTTAATTCAGATCACACACATTTAGTTTTTGATTTGTACATGCACACATTTTGTTGTAAAGTATTTAAAAAGCTCTGCCTCTCCAGCTAATCAAATCAGACTTTGTTTACCTTTTACAGCTAAAATGTTTCTCATGGCTTGAAAATGGAAAGTAGCTGCTCAACATGCACTTTGCTGTAGAAATCAGGAAATATGTCAACATAATATTTGTATTAGAAACATCTTTAAACTCTTTTTTTCTCTAATGTATTATTGTTAAAAATCTCCTGACCTCTACAGCTCCAGTGCATATAGAGTAGCAGCTAGTTGTCAGTGTCCACACTTGAGTTAAAACTCAATTCGACACTTTGGTGCAAAAATGACACACAAGCTGCAAAGCAAGACCGTGCACATGAAAGGCATCTAGAGGGTAGTTAACCGAGATCCACTTGTGCCAAATGATGCTGTTAATTCTATGTGTGTTCTCTTGGAAGACATCTGTGAGTACCAGATACACAAACACAGCAGCCTGCCTCTTATTGTTGTTTTCATTCAGCAGTCTGTTGCCTCCTCTAACACCCTTTTTCCATTATGGAGTATCACTCAACCCTGAAATGTGACATTAACAGCAGGCTGCTGTTTTCTATCTCACTGATGCAACAGGATGAACGCTTCAGGCCTTATCCACGCTCGGGCGAGGAGTTCATCCCCAAAAAACCTAGAAAACATCCAACCAGATACCAGGTAAGACAGAGAGAGAGAGAGAGATAGAGAGAGATGGGGATGGATGCTTGATCTCAGAAAAAGAGCAAGGATAGAAATAAAATGAGTGACGAAGAAAAAAAATCCTACAGCAGTGCTAAGTTAGGGTGGCAGCAGGGTGATAAAAATTTATAGGAAAAAATATGGAGGGAGGAAATGAGAAAAGAAAGTGATGTAAACGAGAACAGATGTGAAAGAGGAGTGAGAGGAGAATGGACAGTAAGGGGGTCTAAAAACACAAAGGACAAAGGTATGAATTCAACCAGAGTTTAAATGTCATAAGCTGAAAAAGGAGGGATTGAACATGTGTCTGCAAATGAAAGGGCTGAGGCAGAGTGACATGCAGAGAAAAGGAACAAAGATATGTTTCTGTGAGCACATCGAGGATGACAGGAAGCAGACACTTAAAGTGAGCTCAAAGAATCACACTGAGGAGAAATGAGATCCTTCACCTTTGCTCGGAGGGAAATCTAGATTCATTTTTCTCCCCGCCCCAAGATTGACAAAGGTCCCATTTTCCAACTTCCAGCACACAAACACGCAGACTTCTCAGAGCAAACGTCCACCTGTCGCTCTATAAGAGGTTTGTACATGCGGCGACATGTATCGATCCATATCAAGATTGCCTACATGCAAAGATTGACTGCCTTGGTCTCAGCAGCCTCTGCAGGATGCCCCTGTTGGCTGTAGATCAATACTCAACATTTGACACTCACTCTGAGAGGCACGATGCTGCTCTTTCAACACTGTGTGATTTTGTGAGTGTGTGTGTGCGCAGAGGCAAGTACACACACCATGTGCACAAAAAGTAATTAGAGAAGGAGAAGTTTGCCCACTTGAGACGTACACCATGTGTTATCACTTCACCTTGTCACCTTCTTCCTATTAAATCTGCTTTTCTTTCTTTGTAGAAGATCATGAAGCGTCTGATAAAGCGGTACGTGCTGAAGGCTCAAGTGGACAGAGAGAGTGACGAAGTCAATGAAGGTAAAAAAAGAAAAAAACTTTCCTTAAGGTCATTTTTTATGGCGTCAGTTTCTTTTAAGCAGGAGTGTGGATTTTATGTAAGTTCTTCCTGTATATTTTTTTATGATCTCCACAGCTTCCTGTTTCCTCACATCTGTGACCTTCAGCACAATTTCACAGCCTCTCATAAAGTGCCCATATGTCTGTAACCGCTCACATGTCCTGACTGTTGAGTCTTTTGTGTTGCAGGTGAGCTGAAGGAGATCAAGCAAGACATTTCCAGCCTCCGCTACGAGCTCCTGGAAGAGAAGTCGCAGGCAGCCGGAGAACTGGCTCTGCTTATCCAACAACTTGGCGACAAGTTTGGCAAGAACACTATGAGGCACTGACGGGACTTGCAAGAAGGGAAAAGAGGGAAGATGTGAAAAGAAATAAAAGGTGAAATTAGAGGAAGGTAGAGGCAGAAAACAGGGTCAGGGAGGTTTTCTTTTTAGAATTTAGAGCCAGAGAGCAAGAAACTGAGCGGTGAAGGAAGATTTTGGGCCGAAAGATAAAAGTAAAAAAATGAGAAGAGTGAAATTTCTCTAATTAAAGGCAAAACTGTTTTGCATTGTAAATGATTAGTTATTAGAAAGGTGGGAAAACGAAAGCTGTGACTGCAACCAAGCATTAGGTCAAAGGGTCAGAGGTGAAGTGGGGTTAATGTTGATGGCATCATCGTAATTAAAGGAGACATCTTCAGAAAAGGGAAGAGAGCCACAGGCTAGGAGATGAATAAGGAGGAAAACAAAAGCTCTGTGAGGAAGAGACAGCAAAGGGCAGAAGACTGAGGCAGCAACAGGGTGAAGGCCCCCCACATCCACTGCCATGAGATAACAGGCGCAGAGAGAGAGAGGGGACCCCAGAGGAGGAATGAAGCAGAGGGAGGGGTAGAGAGTGAGAGGGAAACGGATGGTGTTCACGACAGAAAGGCTGACTCTGCTTCTCTATGTTCCCTTAGTCAGGAGAGAATAACCGACACCTGTGGAGATACTGTGCAGCCCTTTACACAGCAGGCTATCTAATTAATACACATCCATCCACAGTGCACAACTTGTGATCAGGAAACCAATGATTCAGGAAAAAAATGGAAGACAAGTCATCAAAGCTCACTCAAAAATGTAGCTTATCTTTTATTTAAATGGTGAATGGTTGGGCACATCTCAATTCACAGATTATACTCAAAAGAGCATGATCTGTGCTGGGGGGGTGGGTAGGAGGAGGCTGGGTTTTAACATGTTCTGATTTCCTTTTGTTGGACATTTTTAGTCTGAGTTGTGAGCAATTATGTATCAGGAGGCTTTGTGTAGGCAAGAAAATCAGCCATTATTGAGAGAAAAGCAGGTGGAACGTAATTTACAACAACATCCTGGCTGCTGTCAGTAGAAATCTGAACACTATTGATATTTGTCTATGAACAGATATCTTCTAAACGCAGCCAAAAATCTGTTCTGTCTCAAAAAGAAAAATCTACTTAACGCTGTGATTCAAAAGCCAATCAGCGTTAAGATTCCCAGATTTCCTGGAAAGCATCAGAAAACAATCTGACCTCCATCTGAAAAACAGGCGTTTTTTTAAGGGTTTAGTCACGTAAATATAATTTTCCCCTTGGGTAAGCTGAGAGGAGGCGTACTTACTATTTACAGAGAAACCAAGACTCACTGAGAATAGATGGACAGGTGCAGCTTCAGGGATGTAACAAACAAAAGAAATTATGGTGTTTAATCTACAAACAAATCTGAATCTGAACAGGCAAATGTCTCTTTGCTTGTGATTATCACACACAGTCACTTATCAAATTTCTATTTGAACCGTAAACAAAGTTCATTTTAGCAGTTGTTTTTTTCTTACTGCAGTCTGCTCCATAAATGCTGGGCCTCATCGCTACAGACATCACTTCTTCTAGCTCAGTCAGAATGATCTCAAATACAGTGCATCAAACCAACACATACTGCCAGAACTAACTCGCAGATGGGAAAACCTAACGACAAACTCACCAATTTGTTTATAGTCGAGGTCATGATCCCATAACCATTAAAAACAGAGGCGAACACATTTTGTGGATGTTTTCCTGTTCAATGGGCCTCCGCAGCAGATTTTTTTTCTCTGCACAACACTTTTTTTTTTTCTAAAATAGCAACTGAAAAGTGACACGTCCTCCAGGATTTGCGTTTACAGCTGGGAAATGGAGGAGGTCAGTGCTTTCAGGGAGAATATGAAGGCAGACATACTCCTCAGTCTGATCGCTTCAGGGCAAACACACATTTGTAAGATGAGAATATGTGCGAGTTATTTTAGACTGTGTGAACAACAAAGCAATCATTTGGCCACAAACACTGGGATTCACCTGCGGAAGCTGTGTGGAGTCATTCAAAGGTTTTGTTTTTCTTTCATATTCTTTGACAGACTGCTGCAGCAGCGATGTGAGTGTAGCTGACTTCATTGTGAATGGTGTACATGAGCTATATTCAGATATAGATACAACTAGAGCACTGCAGCTACAATCACTGTCTAACATGTAGCAGAAGACTGTATGGGGATTTCCACCCACCATTATTACAATTATATCAGGAGATTATTCTTCTGCGAGTTAGAATGCTTCTTTTATAACTAAAAGAGTTTATTACTTGATATAAAAAATAATCTTATTTCTTTTGTGCTTTAATCATACCATTAGATGTAATTGGATAAGATAATACATCATACAATCTCTTTCTTTCCTTACAAAACTAATTTGATATCATCAAAAATAGAACATTATCAAGATAAAACCGTGAAATTACATTACTCTGTTATTGCGTGGATTATATCAAATAGCCATGCCCTACTGGTAAGAGTATGATCAGATGGTTTTCACTATTTAACACGTTTGGGGGGCTGTAATTACAAATGAATTGTTTTGTTGAGAAAAGAGTCTGATCCTTTTCATCTTAACATCATTACCCATTACAAGGAAAATAATTAGACATTTCCATAACAAATACGTATATCTTATTTGAATTGTTATTGGTAGTTTTTTAAGCTTGCCTATGCTTACAAGCAAGCGTAGTGAGCTGAAGGACTCTTTAAAAGCTAAGGGTTTGTTTATATGACACAATAAAAATGAGAGATGTGATATCTTCTAACTATAGGAACCAAATTTTGCTTTAGATACACAAATGTTTAGAGTCAAGCTCCTGTGTGAATGAACAGTGAGGCTTGAACATGTGTCTATATATTTATCTAGTGTGTGTGTCAGAGAGTGAAAGAGCAGCTTTTCATGTTTTTGTGCAGAACCAGAAAGTCCAGAATGTTTTAAGATTCACTCCTCCTGAAAGACTAAATTACCTGAAATATTGTATTTTTAACTTGTAAGCAAGAATTATTGATAAAGCAAAATCTTGTACTGTACATTGTCATATTTTTGATCCTTAAATTAAAGAGAGTAACCTCCAAACTCTCAGTGTGGTTATTAGAGGGCTGTGGATGCACTGGAGGGGGAATCTGGAGAAATTAAATGAGTCTAAATATTTAGTGTTTATCCTCATTGGTGCCCTCGGTCTGAATCCAAACATGTGAGTGCAGTGGTGTTCTGCACTACAATGTAAACACAAAGGCACACAGAACAGTAATGTACACTTTATTTAAACAAGTGTTTGTGCTGCCAACTGGACCCAAACTACACCAAATGTACACTACACTCATCAAACAACTCAGTCAAACCCATCCTGCTACTGAATGCAATGACCCAAGACCCCCAAAACCTTTTTATACATCAACCAACTTCATGAATCAAGGATAAGTCAGGTGCACCGAACAACTTTGGTTGTAATGACAAGCATATATAGTGGCCATATGCAAGACAGCGCTGCAACAAAAAGTAACTTTAGCCTAAGGTGACCAAATTTCTGTAATGAAATCCAGGGACATCCAAAGCGTGCGCATGGGGATTATGGGCTGCCACAGACAACATCTCAGTAGTACTTAGTAGCAGGAAACGCCCCCTGTAATAATCCCCTGTAAAAACTGTTGTTCAGGACTGCGCGCAACATGCTTACTCATGCTTCCTACCTACTCAGCTACCGTAATAACCGTTGTTCTAGTCTACACGCAAATGGGGGACATTTCCAGGGCCAGGTCATCCAACATGGGGACTGTCCCTGGGCACCTTACTTTAGCCAGCTGCAGAGAGCAAACACCACTTTGCTTGTTGCTGACTCATTGGGGGTGGCAGTAGCTCAGGAGGTAGAGAGGTCATCCAATAACAGGAAGGTTTGGTGGTTCGATTCCCCCTTATCCTGAGTCTGTCCATCGTGTCCTTGGGCAAGACACTTAACCCACCTTGCTCCCAGTGTGTGTCCTCCACTGGTGTATGATTGTGAATGTGTTGTGTGGTGGTGGTCGGACAGACTGTAGGCGCAAACTGGCAGCCACGTTTCCATCAGCCTGCCCCAGGGCAGCTGTGACTACTAAGGTAATTTACCACCACCAGGGTGTGACTGTGTGAGTGAATAAATGATGTATCCAGTGCTTTGAGGGTCTCTAATAAAGCGCCATATGAAATCTGATGCATTATCATTATGTATTATTAAACTATTGATCTGAAATCAGGATTTGTAAATATGAATTCTGCACCTAACAAAGTCTTAGAAATCAATGCTCACCAGGTAGTTAGCAGCTAATAGGCTAGCAGGTGCTTGAGCAAAACAGTGAACCCTCAAACTGTAGTCTGAACTCTTTCCCCGTGTTTATTCCAGGACCAAGTCTACTTGAGATTCAACATACAGAGGTGCATTAGAGACCCTCAAGTGAGTCTCTAGACCTAATGTAAGATAAAAGTGGGTTTCTATGTGTGTGTGCGTGTGTGTGCACATGCACCTGTGTGCGTCAACATGCTCACACACACTGTTGGTCAGAGAATGCTCTCCTTTACAGCGTCTCTGTAAACACTCCGCTCCAGCGTATACCATACATCCGCCACTTTGTCTGCTCTGTTTCAGGCTGTCACTGACAGACGTCCTTTTATTGTTGAGGCTGTTTTTATACAGACCTACAAACCCTCCGAGGCCATAACTCTCATTAAACCTCTTACAGTTTACAGTAAGAGATAATTTCAAAACTTTTGCATTTATGTTGCCTTTATATTCTTACAAAAGAAAGTACTGGAGGTCTATTGTGAAAGCTACAACTACGTTTTTCTTTGTGGACCGGAAGGCCAACGAATCCTGTAAGTGAACCTTTTCTTCTCTTTTGTGGGTGTTGAAGAGGTAGGTAGTGAAAAGGCTATTTTCTTATTCTTAGCCTGACTGTGTGTATTTTTAGCTGAAATGCTGGCAGACAAAGTTTTGAGGGAAAACTTGAACAGTCTTAATTACGGGCCTGGGTACACTCAGACGAGCAACCTTTTCCTTCACATGTTGTTGAGTCTGGTTTATTATAACTTTGTCACATCCTCTATTTCTGTTTCCTCCCTCCCCCCCTCCTCTCCTCTCTCTCTCACTCTCTCTATCACTCACTGCTGCTCTACATATTCAAGCCAATAAAGCAGAAATGCCAAAACACTGTCTGCAAAGAAAAAGGACTTAATTCGACCCCAGAGAAGCAGCTGAGACTGTTGCTGGTTTATCTCCATGGCAACTGAGTTGGTCCGAAGGAGATGTGCTTTTGGACAGGAAATTCTATTATCTGATTTCCTTCAGTGCTCTTTCTCCAACTTTTGAAATGAGTTTTAGCCTGTTGGGCTGTTACCAAAGAACACACTCCATCAGTGTGCGTGCGCCGCGTGTGCATGTGTGTGTTTCTGTTCTGATTTTAGTCTGATTTGATTACATGATTAAGTTTTCACAAAATCTTTTTTACATGCTTGGTTACATATGACCTTTGAGCAGACTTCAGCTTGTGTGCCGGCATAAAAAAAACCTTAAGACTTTTGTGTGTGTCAGTGTGTGTGTGTGTATCTTACAAAAACATTGACATCCCTTCTCTGGTGTAATTTGTCCCAAAGGCCTGAGGCATGGAAGTGTTTCTAGTCCTTTCCCTCTCCTCTCCTCCTCCTCCTCTTCATCCTCCCTCCTTCTTCTCCACATCCATGCCTCCTCCATCTGTCTTTCTCTGTTTCTGCCTCTCCAAACCGAGCAGTGAGCAAAGTGACCTCCTGCCTTCAAAAGACAGGGATTCCAGGGATTTGGAGGAGAGATTAGACTCCCGCCTACTGCCTGGGAGCCCCCTCAGGAGACAAACTTAGCAGCAGGCGCTCACATATTTAAAGAATATGCTTGGTTGCTCTTATAAATACATGCACACATAGAAGTTTAGCTTTCCTGGTGTATTATTAGAAGCTTCAGCACACATATGTGGGCTCAAACAGCTCAAGCAGCTCTCTGCCAGGAATTTGCACCCATTTTACACTCATTTAGGTGTGAATACTTACTTGCGCCTGCACACACATACACACACAGACACACACAGCAGACCATCTTTTACAAACACCCACATACAAATCGTGGTTTTCAACTTTCATTTGTCCAAACAAATAAAAGTTCAATTTCATAGTAATGGAGAAATCGACACAGATGCAGGGTTAAAACCTAAACTTTCGCTGCAGTTTTTCCTCTCACAGATGTTGTGTGTGTGTATGTGTGTGTCATTCATCATTCTTTGCGCACACACACACACACTCACTCACAGCTCCCCTCAGCATCATCAATCACCTCCTGAAGCCATCTCAGTCTCTTATCACCGTATCTCATTAGAGGAAATCTTCCTGAAAAGCAGCTAATCAGAACAAGCCTCTTGAACAAACTATAGACTATTGTAGAGCATAAAGCTGCCATATACTTGCATTTCAGTGCTTTATTGATAAAATATAACATTTTTCATTTTAACTAACTAAACTCAGTTTAAAATTCAAACACATTTTTTTCTTCCTTGACATGGCAGCCTGTAAAAAAATCACAAATCCATTACACTAAAACTGTTTTCAGTGTCCCCATCATTGGTGAAATGCCGATATCTCATTTCTGAAGCAGCCAGAGGTCTGGTGGAATAGAGTGGGAAGGGGCTTTCACAAGAAAAGACTTGTCAAGTGTTAACCAATTCTTCAAAGCTATGGCGACTGGTTTGAGATGGACTGAGGGATTGATGTGACAACTCTCTGACAGGCCTTCTAGGTGGCTTAGACAGCCTCCAGGTCGTGCTGATGAATGAGAGTCTCACCACCATGAGTGTTCTTATAAGTACAAGTGGAGCATGTGAGGGTGGGTATGTGCGCATGAAAAATGTGTCAGGTGTGCATCTTATCCATCATCACAATGAAAAAAAAAATGCTGCAGATTTTCCTTTACAGTCCTGTTCAGGGTTTAGGTTTTGAGCACTACACAATGCATGAAGAATAAATCTAATAACTAGATTATAAGGAAGCTTAACGTCGCTCCTTATTGGAAATGATGTATGTAATTTAGAGGAACTCCAGATTTGGGGCATCTGAAATTTAAGTCAAATTTCAGAAGTATATATTCACTCACAAGGATTTAGGGTGTAAGATTTATTCTGCTCACAAATTCTGCTACAGTATGAAAAACCTCTTCAGTGGCATTCGGTCCCAAATCCTCAGAAGTTCAATGACTCAGGTTTAACCATGAAATATAACCAAGTACAACAAGAAGATGACTTGTTCTTGTCTTGTGTGGTCAAATAAACTCTCAACAAAAGACTGATTTATCGTCAGTGTCCACAAAAGACATTTTTTAAAACACCCGCTGCGCCTATTTCAAAACAAAATAATGCAGTCTACAAAAACAACCTTGACGTCAGCTGTTGTCTTTGTCACTGTGCTCACAGTACTAAAGCTGAAACCAGTTAAACTTCAGGAACACTGCTGCGCTCATCAATGTCACTTCTGAGATCAAATTTGACAACATCAGCGGTGAAGGTCTGCATGGAGGAGATACGCTTGTTTTTTAAGGGCTGAAGTTCGAGGTGCTGCAAATGCTGTGGCATGATTTCCAACTGATAGTTATTGAGCCTCATGTCATCGACAATAATGCATGCAGTGTAATGCAGTATATCATACCTTAATATTATAACAACACCATTGTATACAACAATACAATACGAAAGGGAAATTCATTTGTCCGGAAGGATAGTTAACAAATTGTGTAAATCTAGTCGGTTGAGAGGAGAGGGTGGCACGATTAAAGTCTGTATCCTAGCAACAGTATCATGGAGGATGCATGTATAAAAGTATTGTTATGATATGACTGAACTCCCTTGGAACATCATGTGGCTGAAGAGCAACTGCCCACAGTTCAATATCTGGACAACACAACTTCTCCTTGACGGTTATGTGTGAAGAGTTACACCATCTCTGGTTGGCAAACAAAGTCAGACCTCCTCCTTTCCTCTTGCCACTAGCTGTAGCGTCTCTGTCTGACCTTATGAGAGTGAAGCCAGGTAGAG